CTCAGATCAGAATGCAGACGAGGAACTCACCAAGTGTTTTTGAAGTCAGTACACTTGATGAAGAGGCTCCTTATAACAGTGGCGTGATATTCCCTCCTGTACTTTTCTCCTCTTTCAAACTTCTGCTTTGGGTGCACTTTGCTGTTCGGAAGGCTGACACTAAAAATGACTTTGCTATTGATGTCTCCGTCCCTCTCACGGGGAGCGAGGGTGCCTCTCTCCTTCTGAATTCTCAATCAGAAGCTGGCTCCAGCTCCCAGGTCTTAAGTGGGTGGCTATCTTCGCAGATTCTACCGTTTGCCTCGTCTAACAATCAGTACACACCTTCTGATATGAGTGAAGAGTAAAATAAGCCGTGCTGCCTGGAAAATGGGGCTTAAGTGATGGAGGCTGTGGCTTTTGTTCCTTAGTGTCTGATACACAAAGAAAGAAAATGGAGAAATAGTCATTTCTCCCGTTCTGTTTGTTTGTTTCTTCATTATACCATTTATCTCCTCAAACAAGACATGTTTTTAGTTACAGATTGGCTAGGGAAAAAAAATGCATATGCTAAACCAGATGGGTGAAATTAACAGTTTCATTAAACTGACTTTAATATCGACAAAGACACCATGGCTTTGATTTTTAGATAATAGTTACAACCCGAACTTTACCAAAAGTGTGAAATGAGTAATTGTACCTTAGAATTATTACTTTTATTAAATTCAGTAGTGCAGAAAATTGTTTAGATTCTTGGGCAGAAAAAATATCAATTGGTGATTTTTTTTTTTGTGGGATGGAGTTAAGAATTTTAATATAAAAAAAAAGAAATGAGCAAGCCCTTCCCGTCTACAGAGCTTTTTGGGCTCAGGATAGACTGGAGGATTCTGGGTTTGTTCCCAGCTACCTGGGCAATCCTGATGCTGATTTCTGGGGTTCTGTGCCAGGGGTCAGTGGAGGCAGGTGTTTCATTTAGAGTTTCATTTCTTTTGGAGTCTTTCCCTCCTCTGAGCCCACAAAGCCAGCGTCCCTGTGTAGTCAAGCAAAACCCGTCATCTTAGTTAGGAATTTGGCAGGGAGGAGAGGCCAGAATGAATCGTTAACGATAACACGGACGCCACTCTGCTGGGAATGTGCGCAAGGGGGCTTCTGAAAGGAGCAAGTGCTGAAAACTCAATCTACGAATAAGTAGCAGTCGGATCTGTTTTCGGTGTCTCTGTGCTCGCTGAATCCATGGAGAAGGTTCTTAACAAAGGAATGGTCTCATAGTGTGGAGTGCTCCCCTCAGCAGAGCAAAGGGAAAACCCAACAGAAGAGATTCCCAGAGTCCTGGTGGAAAAGGATGTTATCGTGCAGGCATAGCCCAGCAGGAAAACAGAGAGAAGCGTCCAAGGCTGCCCATCGCTGTGATGTTGGTTATAGCAAAATCACAAGAAGTGACCCAAGAGTCTAAAAATAGAGAACTTGGTGCAGCCGTAAAATGCAGGATGATCAGCCCTCTGTTCCTGTGGGCTCTGCGTCTGTACACAACCAAAGGTGGGTCAAAGGTATTTAGAGCATCCGGCTGAGGGTGGAGCTGTGGTCTCCAATGCTTGGTATGTGTGAGGGTCCTCAAGTCAATCCCCAGCACCAAACACCACACACACAGACACACAGACACACACACTAACCTGTAGTGAACATGTATGGACATATTTTTCTTGTTGTTAGTCCTTACACTTCTTTGTAATAACCATTTCCATAGCATTTCCAATGTATCTAGAGATGGTTTCCAAGGAATCTAGAGATCGTTTAGAGTCAAGGGCATGACCAGATGATTCACAATGTAACAGGGTGGGTGCTGTCACCTACAAAATTCATGCTCTAGAACCACATGATTGAGTTTAAAAAAAAAATCACAAACAGTTGTCTCGTAATGTTTCAAGTAAGTTTAGATTTTGTGTTAGGCTGAGTTCAGAGCTGTTCTTGGCCACGCGTGGCCACAAGCTGCAGTTGGGACCCACGTGATAGAGCACACAGGTGGGGAGGTACACAGGAAGATGGACACTGGTCACATGCAAATAGTTTGCTATGGGGAACTAGGGAGAATCCTGGAAGTGGTACCCCAATTACCGCCATTCATTCATTCATTCATTCATTTATTCATTCTATTTATCTATTTATTTATTTGGAGGATGTAGACACGTGCAGGCAAATGTGTGTGAAGGTCTGAGGTCAACACTGATGTCTTTCCTTGATCACTTTTCCACCTTTTACTTTTTGAGACAGATCTCTCATTGAACCTAAAGTTTATGGATTAGGTTATGCTAGCTGGCCAATGAGCTTCAGGGATGTCTCTGTCTGTCTCGCCCTAAGGCTGGATTACAGACATATGCCACAACGTGTAGCTGTTTATGTGGGTGTGTGTGGATCTGGATTCAGGTCCTCAGACTTGCACAACATGCACTTTACCCACAGAGCTCCTGCCCTACTCTTCCTCTGCATTGTTAGAGCGTTAAACAGATTGAACTTCTGACGGCCGTAGAGAGCTATTAATAATACAGAGTTAATTTAAAAGAGAAAGTTGGGCTGGTGAGATGGCTTAGTGGGGCTTATCACTGAGCCCAAAGACCTGAGTTTGATCCCTGGGACCCACAGAGTGGAAGAGAAGGAGTGAGGTGACCCCCACAAATGTCCTCTGACCTCCACATTCATGCTGGGGCGTGTGTGCACCTCCACATGCACACACACAAATAAAATAAGTAAAATGTAATAGAAATTTAAAAGATAGAAAATGAAGTCAGAATCTATAGTGGCATGATATGCCACTTGGGGGAAAGAAAAAAATATGTATGTAAATAAATGCATACATGAATTACTGTGCATGTAAAGGAAACGTCTCCAAGCATAGGTACCAAGCTTTTTAACAGCTTTTATCTTCACTAAAGACAGAGTGGGGGAGTGGAGGCTTCTGTTTTCTTTAAAGCCATTTGCATTGTTTGATTTGTCTTAGAAAAACAAATAGTTATGTTTCTTACATAACAAATAGTTATGTCTTCCTAGAGTAAAGCAAGCAAGCAAATAAACAAACAGAGAATATGGAAAAGGCATGCGGCTGTTCCTGCGTCAGGATGGCTTTTTCAGCTACTGTGGCTCTTGGAAGTGTGGGGTCTGGAGAGCCTAAGCACATGCAGCTGGAGCTGGGAGGCTGGCCACCTTTCAGGGGTCTTTGGGTGCAGACCACATCTGCCTTTTGGGGGGCCCACAGGGACCACCAGCGACTTGTAAACAAATTATTAGCTTCCCTAATGCCAGCTGGATCTTTCTGATCTTGGGGTGTGTGTGTGTGTGTGTGTGTGTGTGTGTGTGTGTGTGTGTATCTGTCTGTCTGTCTGTCTGCACACACACTTATGCACCCTATGTGAAGATGTACATGTGCTGTGCGCATGCCTGTGTGTGGAGACCAGTGGACACCCCATGTATTGTTGCTCAGACATCATGCCCCGTGTTTGTTGAGATGGCCTCTCACTGGCCTGAGGCTCACCCATTCCACTTGGCTAGCTGACCAGCAAGCCCTCCCACCTCCTGGCCCTGTCTACCTAGCGCTGGAATTATAAGCAAATGCCTCTATACCTTGCTTTTTATGTGGCTTCATGGGATCAAACTCAGGTATTCATGTTTTGTGGCAAGTACCTTACCAGCCTCCCTGACCCATGTTTTTACAGTGAACCAGTGCAAGGGAATTGCTCTTCAGTAAACCTAATCCAAACCTCTCATTTTGGGCAAAATTTCTCTGCTCATCCCTTTCTGGTGTGCCAAGAAGAGTGATTTATCCTTTGCCTTCTGAACATTTTTTTTAATAACTTTTTTTTAATAGAATGAAGAAAATAAAAGATGTTGGAAATAGCAGTTTTTAGGCAGGTGAAACTTTAGTCAAGGCTGACATTTAATTTAACATTCAAGCTGACATTGTTTGCATGTAACTTAGGGCCTGTGTTTCCTGTAAATAACATCTTTCCATCCTGTATGACCTTCTGTAGCTTGGCAATAGTATGTTGCCTGTCCTAGAAGCATTCCTGGGCCGCATTAATAAATAAAAGAAATAGATGGCAAAGACAGACTTGAGAAGATTCTCACAATCACATCCTGGAGTCATCGCACTTGCTCACTTAGCTTGGACATTGATCAGCATATAGACTTATGAGAGGTTTCGTGAAAGAAAGCACCAGGCATAGGAAGGCAGACCAGACAAGGCCCCATCCCCGCTGGGAGGGCCCTGGTGAATACAACTGCTTGCCTGTCCACCAGGGGGTGAGTGTGAACTCTGGCTTGTGTGACCTGTCTAGCAGGGTTCAAGGGTTGGCCCAGCCCTTCACCAGCCTTTGTAACTGTAGACAAGTTATTTTGTTTCTTCAGGCTTTAAGCCCCTGCTGTGAAGAAGGAGGCTAATAATAGCACCAACCATCTAAGCTTGTGCGGATCCAATGGCCTTGTTTGCATAGGATGCTTGACCCTGTGCGAGGCGGCTTGTGAGCCTTCCTGAGAGTTGACTCATTCTTTTCATTATATCGAGAGACCCACAAGCAAAACTGGGATCGAAAGATGATGAGGAAGCATCTCAAAATAAAATGCTCTTGCTTGGATTTTGGGAGCAGTACCAAGGAACTATTTCTGGGATAAAAACACATTCTTCTTCCGCGTCTCAGAAGAGAGTCTCTCTGGAAGTTTCAGCAGCCCTGATTGGGCGGTGAATTACACTGAGTGAATTACTCTCTGGAGGCACCCTCTCAGCTCTGTGAGGCACATTCTTTCCCCCAGGATACTAGGCTGTCATTTAGTGCCAGAGGAAAAGCTTTTTACGGAGTGACACCATAGCTTCCCCCAAAGGGTTTAATTTACTTCCCCAGAGGGTGGTATATTTCAAGGTACTGCAGGACCCACCTTGTCAATAACAGAGGTATTTAATTGGCTTTCCTTCCTTCTCCAGCCACATCAGCCCTGTGGTAATTAATTCTGTGTGCTGCGAATTGTGTTATTTACAGTGCCATGGAACCAAAATGACTCCGTATTAGAAATCGGTGGGAGGATATTTGAGAAGGCTGTAAAGAGACTCTCCGGCGTTGATGGCCTTCACCAAATTAGCTCTGTCATCCCCTTTCTGATGGATTCCAGCTGCTGTGGATACCATAAAGCATCCTACTACCTCACTGTCTTCTATGAAACTGGATTAAATGGACCCCGGGATCAGCTGCAGGTGGCGTATTTCATGGGGTCAGGAGCATCTGTCACCTGGGTTATGTGTGCAGAGAGATGCCCCTGCCGGCACTGGGCGTGTTGCGGCTCCTTGGAGTCCCCTAAAAACCTTTATACCCAGGGAAAAAAATGTCCTTGGGTTGTGGAACTACACGGTAACCTGTTTTCAGGGAAGACAAAAAGCCACTTCTCAATTTCTGCACATAGCTTTCATGGTTGGTAAACCATCCCAGGGACAGTTTGAGCAGGGCCGGCTGGAATCCCATCCTTCAGAATCAGGGGCCACTTCCCTGATAAATGCAACGGCCCTCACGTTGAGGACCTCATGTTGAGGTCGGTCCCGTGGATGCTGTCACCCCACATTACTTCTTAGCTCAGAAAAGCCTTCTGATCTCTCTGCAGAGTGTCGCCACATCTACCCCTTCTACTATCAAAATAAATGCCGCAGTAGACAGTTTTACTTTGGGTCTTGAATCCAGATTGATTATGCAACGTGCCTAACATTTTAGAGTCACATTTTCCTAAGCGTATTAGTCAGGGTTCTCCAGAAAAACAGAACCAATGGGATTTTATATATATAGGAAGAGACTGATGCTGAAGAATCAGCTCAGGCAATTATGGAGTCTGAGAAGTTCCCTGCTCTGCCATCTGTTAAGTGAGAGGCCAGGAAAGCTGCTGGTGGGGTTCCAGTCAAAGCCAGAAGGGCCTTGATGACCAGGGGATCTGGTAGTAGAAAATCTAGCCCCTAGACAGGGAAAGAGCAGGGCCCCAGCTCAAGCAGGCAGGCAGGAAGCGAAAGGGATGGATTCCTCCTTCCTCTGCCTTTGGCTCTCTCTGGGCTCTCAATGGGTAGGATGCTGCTCCCCCTCCCTGGGGAGGACCATCTGCTTTACTCCAGCCTCCCAATTCCAGGCCTCATTGGAAACAGCCTACCAGACTCCCTGAGAAATGATGCTGGGTCCCTGCCAGCATAGGCACGTTGACAGATAACACCATCACAAGAAAACACTACATGTTCCCTAATGACTTTTAATTTCTGATCTCTCTGTGTGATTGCTTGTCTTTGTATGTTTTTTGTTGATGTTGTTTTTTTGTTTTTGTTTTTGTTTAGGTACATTAACCTTTCTAGGATGGCTGAGATTATAGAGAGGGAGCAGGGCAAATGACCTTTCAGCCTTAGGGGATTTTATTACCTTATCTACAGTCTTGTGAACACTTATCAATTTCTTCCTAACAGGGCATGCTATACAGTCTGGTTGGAGGCCAGGGCAGTGAGAGGTTGTCGTCGATGAATCTTGGGTACAAACACTACCAGGGTGTTGACAGCTATCCCCTGGACTGGGAACTGTCCTATGCCTACTACAGCAACATTGCTACAAAGACACCCCTTGACCAGCACACCCTGCAGGGAGACCAGGTAGGACAGAGATGCGTGGGGACGCTTACCGCCTGGTTGTCACAGTCCTGAGCAGTGTGTGCTGGCAGCTGCACCTGCATCTAGTTTCTGTGCTGGCTCTCCGAGGGTGTGCACTGTGTGATGGAGAGCAGAGCTTTATTACCTTGTCTTCAGTGCCCATTTCCTGCTCCTGTGCAGGTTCCCAGGCTGACCGCAGGCATGAGCCCACATCTGTGAGCTGTCCATGAGTGGACAGACTGGTGTGTGAGGGGGAGATTGGCTCCGGGGGCAGATTTGGGTCTTGAAAAAAAGGGAAAACATACCAGAAACATAATCATTTTGTCCATGTGACATAGTGAGGTCTGGAGATGTTAGGAGGGAAGGAATCAAATTGAGAAGAGGCTTTAATTTCCCAGCGCCCCTCTCTATACGTGATAAACAAGCAGGGTTCACCACACACAGAAGCCAGCTTTATCTCCAGCCAGGTTCCCAGTGCTGGATGCTTACGAAAGGTCTTCTTTACATGGACCTACCTCCTCATTGCTGCCAGGTGGCTGATGATTAAAGACAAGGGGGACTTAGCACCAGTCCCAGCTTCTTGCAGGCGTCCCAATCTTGCTGACTCACTGGACAAAGAATCAGTGGCTCACATCTGCCAAAAAAAAAAAAAAAAAAAACCATAATGCGTTAGATTAGACTCACTGATGGCGTGCTTCCGGACTTCTTTTGAGGGTAAGGATAAAAGGCTGCCATTGAAGGTGTCTGTGTAAGAACATCAGGAAAGCCTCCTTAATGGCAGGGATCCACAGATGTGAGAGGAGACAGTGGGCGGGTCGGTTTCCGGGTTACAGAAGCGCATAAGATGGTTCATGTTGATAAATGCAGCTACTTTACTGTGGGAGTTGAGTTTTGTTTTTTTTTTTTTTTCTGTAAAGGGCCAGCTGGTGAGGATTTCAAGCTTTGACTGGATGGTGTTTCTGCACCTGTTGATCTCTGCCAGGGAAATGTGGAAACGAATGGGCCTCTGGGTCTGTGTAGTCACAGGTTGTGGTGGTATTTTGTGTATGCGCTAACAAATAAAGCTTGCCTGAAGATCAGAGGGCAAAGCCAGCCACTAGTTAGCCGTAGAGGCCAGGCAGTGGTGGCCCACACCTTTAATCCCAGCACCTGGGCTCTCATGCCTTTGCTCCCAGTACTTGGGAGGCAGACATGCCTTTAATCCCAGCACTAGGGAGGGGGAGACAGGAAGTGATATGGCTGGGCGGAGAAAGGAACATAAGACAGGAGGAGACAGGAGCTTAGTCCTTTTCGGCTGAGGAGTTGGTGAGGTGAGAGGTGACTGCGGCTTGTTCCTTTGTCTCTCTGATCTTTCAGCATTCACCCCGATATCTAGCTCTGGGTTTTTATTAAGACCAATTGGGATTCGTGCTACAACAGACAGTGTGAGGCTCCCTGGCAGAACCTGTGCCGTGAACTTCGATTTTCCTGCCTGCTGGGCAGGCCTGTCTGAGGGACAAGCCTGACTAGGTCAGACTTGTTGAATCTTAGTGACTGACTGGGAACCAAACTGGATTGAGTCAGAAGCCCACAGGGCAGAAAGGTGGTGTTTGATACTTGGAAATAGATGGTTTCTGGGGAAAAACAAACAAACAAAAAACCTACCGTGGCCACTCTACTGTTGTGAATAAACGGTTCCGAGAGAAGCCTTCAGTGAATGTGAAACATGACAGAGTGGGCTCAGGATGTAGCTCAGGATGTAGGTAGACACTTGTCTAGCACACACGAGGTTCAATGCCCAGCCCCCCATGAAACCAGGTGTAGTGCCTGTGCCCGCAATCTCAGCCCCAAGGAGAGGGAGGCAGGAGGATCGGGAATTCAGGGTCATCCTTGGCTACATAGTAAGTCCAAGACCAGGCTGGGATTTGTGAGACCCTGTCCCAAGAAGGGAGGGGGAGGAGGAAGAAAGGGGAGGAGGGAGGAGAAAGAGAGGGAAGGGGAGAGGGGGAGGAAGAGAGGGGAGGGGAAAAGAGGAGGAGGAGGAGGAGGACAGAAGTCATAAAAACCAGAAGTCTGTCTCTATAGAGACATTCTAATTCCTTTAGACAATATTGGTTCTCTTCAAATAAACCCACACAAAACTTGTCACTTACAGCTGACTATTCCCTCTGTGTATATAAGTGATCTACAAAATTTAACCTTAGTTTGACAGCAATTAATTAATCAACCTTTTTGTTTAAAAAAAAAAACTGCCCTGAAAAACACATTTTTCCAAAATCAAGTTGCAAAAATTAAGTCTGCCTTTACCTTTCCACCAAGCCCAAACATGTTCACAACATCCTGCATGTGTAGATCACACACTTCAGAATTCGAATTCAGCATCAATTAGCAGCGGGAAGCGGTACGTGGCTGACAAGCTCCTTCTCTTTTGAAGATTTGGCATGTGAAATGTTATGATTAGGAATGAGAATGTTTAATTGGTCAGAACCGGAGGAGCTGAACAGAAAAGATGTGTCTCGCCGCTGAAAGGCCGTGTGATTAGGCATCGTGGATAGGAATTATACACTTAGAGGCGTTGTGCCATCACTCATTTTCTTAAGAATCCGTAATTAATGGCTTCTTGAGGATTGAAGCAGGTGTCATGCGTTCATTTAAATGTCCTTTTGTTGAGGTATCTATTAATCCCCCAGCATAATGTAGCAAATGAGGAGCTCTTGAAAGGCAGCCCTCTAATTAACCGAGAAGGGTCTGTCAATAATGCCTTTCTCCCTTCTCTGGGCATCTCTGCTTCTGCGACTCACGTCATTTCATCTTCTTTAGCGGGATTCTCACTCGGCTCCTCACGTGTGACTGAGCGGGACTTTGCTGCAGGTGGAACAGGAAGGGACACCTAGCTTCCCCTCTGTTCTGTGACTTAAATAGCAAATGAGGTGCATTCCTTCAGCCCAGACCTTAGAAGTTTCCCTCCATCCCTCTCTCTGTCTCTGTCTCTCTCTGTCTCTTTGTCTCTCTGTCTCTGTCTGTCTGTCTCTCTGTCTCTCTGTCTGTCTGTCTCTCTCTCAGTTTGGTCACAGCTTTCCTTTTTCTCTGTGGCTTCTAGGAGCATGGAGGGCTTCAGTCCCATCCCCGGCCACAGCCACATTTGCATATTGATAGTACTCAATCTTCATCTCCACCCCACATCTTTCTTTCCTTTCACTTATGACACAAAAGAAGCTGACCTTCCACGTCTTCCTTCCTCTAGTGCTAACACCTCCCCAGATGACACCAAGAGCTACACTAGGAAATGGGGGTGGCCGCCTTTGGCCCCTCCTCCTAATAACCACCCCAGTTCTCTCTTCTCCATTTCCTTCGCTGCCACCACTGCCTAATGTGGTCCTTGATTATCTCTCCCCTGAGCGGCTGCGACAACTTCCCTTAGGGGCAAAATTGTGTTTCCCCCAATTCAAATGTTGATGTCCCAACCCCCAGGACCCCTGAATAAGATCGCACCTAGACTGAAGGTAATATATGTGTGTATATTGCTTTCTACTCTCTGCCTGAGAGGCCACACTCTCAAATGCAACCAAGCAGAGATTGGAAATATTCCAAAAAAAAAAAAAAAAAAAAAAAAAAAAACCCAAGGTGTCTGTTCCTGTGTGTATTGACTTTTTTTCAGTATTCCTAAGAAACACAGTATCGTAGCCATCTGTATGCCATTTACATTATATTAAGTATTGTAAGTAATTTAGCCATGATTTAGAGCATGGGGCTGAGGCTGTGAGACCGTGGTTGAATGCATTTGAAGCATGCTTGATGCTCTGGGTTCCCAGTTACCACATCACATTAGATAAGAGACAAGAATCAAGGATTTCATTGTTTGTAGGGATCCTGGAACCAATCCTCCTGGGATACTGAGGTATGTGTGTGCGTGCATTCATGCATGTGTGTGCATGTATTTATTTGTATCTGCATGGGTATGTTCATTTATGCACAATGCACATGTGTGCATGTGGTGTGGTATGTGTGCATTTATGTGTACATGAATGTATGTGAGTGTGCATGTACACGTGTGTGTGTGCATATGTATATATGTATATTAGAAGCTCCTCTCATCCTTATAATGTATAGTCAGGGTTAAGAACTGACCCCAAGGCACCCAGCTCTATCACAGGGCATACCAGGGCATACAAGGGCATTTCTTGTCTGCACTCCCTCTCTCTACCCATCCTTACCCTTGGCTACCCTGCCTTGGCCTGCTAACTTTGGCATCACCATATCTTGGCCACAGCACACTGTTCACAGTGCTGGCCCTGTCCAGGCTCTTTGCTCTCTCCTCCCCTACAATTTCCTTGGGAACCTCCCGACTGTACCATGTGCTCAGCGGCAACCTCCTCTGGGGCCTTGCTGGACTCCCACATAGCGCCCAGGCACATCTCTGTCATTGCCCCCTCAGGGTTGTAGGGTGGGTGCCTTTGACAGATTGAGCTCCCAGGGCAAGAACCCCGAAGAGATCCAGCTGTGAGCATCTGTGGAACCCCGCTTCCCCTTCTCCCTGCTGCAGTAGTCAACAGTTCCCCACCGCCACTTTAAAACAAGAACATTAACTTTCGACTAAGAACCACCCCTATCAAACTGGGAGCCAGCAGTCCAACTGGCTAGAACTAAGCCATGGTTAGCAGGTGTAAGCCTTGGCTAGGACACTGGCCCAGCCTCTCGCCAGCTTCTCCTTGGCTCTCTGGCGCTGCCTGGGCGGCAGGCCACAAAACAAATCCTCAGAAGGCTGCATTTCTAGATGATGTCCAGCTGCAGCCCAGCCAGCTGTCCCGTCCTGTCTCCCGTCTCCCCTTCCTTTCTCTGTTTTCCCTCTTGTTCTGTTCTCCCTTTCTCTTATCCACTCTCCCACTTTCTTTTCTTTCCTCTTTCTTTCCAGCTCTTCCTCTCTCTCTCTCTCTCTCTCTCTCTCTCTCTCTCTCTCTCTCTCTCTCTCTCTCTCCCTGCCTCAATTTCTCTTCTTCCTCCCTCTTTCTTTCTCCCTCCCTCCCTCCCTCCCTTCCTTCTTTCCTGTCTGTGTCTGTCTGTCTGTCTGTCTGTCTCTCTTTCTCTCTCTCTCCCCTCCCCACCCCCCACTCTCCCCTCTCTGGCCTTTCCTGAAACCAGTGACAGCAGCCTTTTAACAGGAACAGCGAGCGCCCTTGGCAGCCTGCATGGGCAACGGGAAGGAAGGTGAATCTTCTCCCGGACAGTGTGGCGCCTTTCTCTGGCACTTGGTCCAGGGGTCTGAGGATGGCAGTTTCCAGGCACTGGTCCTCCTGGAACTTGGCAGCAGGCTTTAACCCTGTGATGTAAGATCAGATGACATTGATTTATGAAAAAAGCAGCTGAAGGACCTCCCGGAAACCTTGGGATTTCTCAGAATATCTAGTATGGCATCCTTGGCTCTGCATACCTGCCTCACCCCACCATGGCTACTTCTCTCTATCCTACCCCATCCCTAGCCACAACATGCTATTTGAATGAATCAGCAGCTTTAAGCTGCCCCTCTTCAGGCCATTCTGTCTTTAGGTGTTTTTTGCAGACCGCCTCCTTTCACAGAAAGCCCAGGCATAGGCATCTGATGTGCTAACTGCTGCTTTGGGAACCCCAGAAACATGGAGAGGCATTCCTTTCTGCCTGGGTGCAGCACGCAGTGTGACTGATCAGATTTCACTGGCTCACTGGCAGTCTGTCTACACTAGGGGTGAAGCCTTGTGCTTGCTGTTGGTCTTACCTCCATTTCTCACTCTTACCTGGGTACCATGACTGTCTGCCTCTCACACAGTTGTTACAACACACGTCAGTTCATCCACGTGCTGAGCAGAGCTTGGCACAGGATATGAGCTCTCAAAAAATTGTCTGACATTTATACGTTCTCTCCAGATTTTACTCCTTCCGTTTTTCTTTCTCGTGTAGCCCAGGCTAGCATGAAACTCACTGTGCAGGATGACCTTGAACTTCTGATCCTCCTGCCTCTATCTCCCCAGTGCTGGGATTATAGGTATGCATAAATTATATATAGATTATAGATATGCATAGATTACATATAGGCTGGCAAACCTGTAGGGTCAGTATATTATTTCCATTTTATAAAAGTGGTCACCTAAAGTCACCCAGAAAATGAGTAGCAGAGTCTAGATTTCAGCTTAGATCTTCCTCTTTGTACTGTTAAAATAATAATAATAATAATAATGGCTCACGTCCTGAGTGCTTTGGAGGTGGGAGGTACTATATCATGCCAGTTTTTCTGGTTGCAGAAAAGCAGTACCATCTAAATAAAGTAAGCGGCCCAAGGCTCACATTTAGTTGGTGGTGGATCGGAACTGAAATCCCCTGGGTCAGAGAGGAAAGGGTGTGGGCCTAATATTTTTCCATTCCTGGGAAGTTCAATGGCAGCACCCACAGGTCCTGCAAGGGCCATGGAGCCAGAAGAAGCAAGTGTGCTCTTTTCTCACAGCTGTGCAGGGTTGCTCGGGTTCCTCCCCCATGCCCCCCCACCCCCGCCTCCACCCGCCCACACACATAGAAATGTGATCTCAGCAAGACCCAGCTGACAGCGCCCACAGAGAGAGTTCATTGTGTATGGGAGGGCAGGGGGCATGGAAACAGTCCACCATGTGCTTCTTCCCAGAGGCACCACTCCTTCGAGGGAGACTAGGGGCCAGGCATGAGCGTGAGCCAGCCTGAATTTGACTCCTAAATTTGAAAAACTGATGCTATGATCTTGGGCAGTTTAGTTAACTTTCGTGGGCTTCGGCATCCACGTGTGTGACATGGAGGTGTGGATCATGGCCGTCTCATCAGATTTCCAAGCATGGTTGTCTGTTGGGGTCAGGAGTGGGACAGCGCCTGTCACACTACTCATGAGGGTCCCTGGCATGTCATCTGTGCCAAAGCTGCAGAGACCCGAGAGCGTGAGGCCCTCAGGCGGAACTGTCTCTATGTGTCTGGTCTTTCTCTTTGAAGTCTCGTGACAAGGAGAAGAAGAAAACCAAGAATCAACACAGTGGAATTCTCCACATGAACATAAAACCGAGAATTCTTATCTGCCCAACCCCAGGCTCCTCACCAAAAATGAAAGTGATCTTGCAATGCCAGCTGCCAGCTCTGCCCTGGAAATATGGAGTCCCTGGCTTGACCAGACTGACTCTCTCCTATTGAGGCTGCAGGGTCTTCCCGCTAGAGGGCGACATCACAAGGGTGGAGGCTCTCTGTGCTAGCCTGGCTTTCAGGGCCTAGCAGTGTGAGCTGGAGTTCATGTTTTCCCCTTAGGAGCCTCCATTTGTTACTTTGTTCACTCGGGCTAGGGGTGGGGTGGAGGTTTGAGTCACGGCTTTGTTGTGAGGAATACGTGAAGACACTGACGCCATAGTTGATTTCAATGAAAGGCTGTCATTATTGCTTCCATGTTGAACTTGGCCGGAATGGATTGAGCTGGGTCCTGAGCCTTGCAGGAGGAGCCTTGACTCCTCAGTCCCCTAATGCCTCTGAAAGCGACCCTGGGCCCCACACAGACCCAGCAGAGGAGGCAGCTGAGAGACATTTTAAGCAATAGAGCTACAGACCAGAATCTGTGACTGAATAATTTTCTTAACAGACAAAGGCAGTCAGAAGGGAAATCAGGCCTGGCGCCTCATTCTCTGAGGCTGCTCTTGCAATTTTTCACACCTGCCTGTGGCATGGCGGTGCTTGGGTGGCATGCTACACAGCCTCCATCATGCATAACAGCAGTCCACAAAACAATGGGAGTCGGTTTCTAATACACGGCCAAAATGTGTACACTGCAGTGGATCCTACTTTCTTCAAAGAAGTCAGATATCTGACAGGCTGTGTGCAAATTCAGATTACCATGTGAACTTGCCCTCTGGGTTCATCTTAGAGCATATGGAACATCCCACCTCAAATTCTTAAAGTTTAGTATGCGCGCTTCTTTTCAGGGTAGATTTCTAAAATTTGAGGGTACAGCAGCAGATAACTGAAGCTGTGAAGTAAACATGTTTAGTTATGTCAGATAATGATGCTTCGGTAAAAATTAAGGTCATACTTAGAAAATACCTTTTTTTTTTTTTTTTTTTTTTTTTTTTGCTGTTGTTGGGAATGGGAGCTGGTTCCGAGAACCATGACATCAGGCAGACTTTCAAACAAGCTTGAATAATAAAGTGGGAGTGGAAAAAAAATAGCCTGGCTTCCCCAAATACTTTGATAGGAACAAATATCAATGCAGACATGCAGGATGTGGTCCATGCGTTTTAAAAATAATTCGCTCCCGTGACCATGTAGTCACGCCTAAGATTTAAATTATTCATATGGGTTTTGCCTGAACAAAGGCTGGTTTGAAAATATTGTGTCCGTGCACGCTCACGGCATTTGGGTGTTTACCTCCTCTCTTCCCCTCCTCCCCTTTTTCTTCCTTTCCTTACTTTTTAGGCTTATGTTGAAGCTATTAGACTCAAAGATGATGAAATACTCAAAGTCCAAACCAAAGAAGATGGAGATGTCTTTATGTGGCTGAAGCATGAAGCCACCCGCGGTAACGCAGCAGCCCAGGTAGGCAGAGGCCCATCTTCAAGAGTCTGTCCATCATCTCAGATGAAGTTTTGCTTCAGTAACAAAACCTCCCCATAGGCTTAAAGCATATCTTCTACTTGTAGTCATGTCTCATGGAGCTCTTTCCTGAAACCTTGGAGCCCAGGTGGATGAGGCTTCTCTATATACTTCCAACATCATTGTCGGGGCCACAGTCACGGCATATCTGAGTCTAGTGGGCAACACTTCTGCTATAAGGGGCCCACGTCCCCGAGCATATCACATGGTCATTCACAAGTTCAAGAGGCTAGGGTTTCATCCTCCCACCCAGTCAGAAAGAGAAGATACCGCAATACCCGTACCCTTAAAGACTCTGTTGGTGCATGCATCAGATAGCAAACAAGGAGCACCTTGGGTGTGGGAAAAATTAGATGGCCGTGTGTTCCGCCAGGAGAACAATAACCGTTTACAGAGTGTCAAGCCAGAAAGATTGACCTTGTCTCTTGAACATCTTACATCTTTAAGTTTTAGGAGTTTGATTTGCAGCGGATGAAAAGCCCTTGGCTGCAGCTTGCTGAGGCTAACGTCACCAGAAGCCTTTTTTCCCAAAAGAGGGCTTTAGCATTTGATGAGGGCTCCTAGGGAACTTTACAGTCTGAGGGAGAAGGCTCCGGCACCGCTGAGTGGCAGAAGAACAGAGATAGGAAAGGGACACCCGTCAGAGGCACTGACCAATCATCCCACTCAGGGCAGAAGTCTCCTGGTGCTCCATCGAGATTGTCCTGGAACTTTAGTTGGTACTTTCTTTGCTGGACATTGGAGGGATGGGTGTGGGGTCAGAAAGAAGGGGAGACAATCAGGGACCCCCACGGGGCCAAATGGTTAACAAAGGAGGCCCTGCCCTCATTCCTGGGTTTGTAACCCTGGCCTACTATCCCTCCAGCAGGGACTAGTGTGGTTCTAGAAATGCCTTGGGGGCTCCAGAGCTCACATTAGTTACATTACTGTGACTAATTACATTAGTCTTGTAATAGTGGACACGTACTTCTTTCCTTCAGCAAATCTATATGCACAAGCTTCTGGGAACTTTTGAGAGAACTAGGTAAAGCAGTGTGTGTGTGTGTGTGTGTGTGTGTGTGTGTGTGTGTGTTGGACCAGAACCAGAACTGGCTGGAACATGATGGAACTTGCCTAGTGATCACAGAACCTGGTCAGCAGAATCTCACCTTGCTCCTCAAGCACCCGCTCCTGTAGGGGGTCCTGCCTCTCCGTTTGGTCAGCGACCAGCAAGGAGGTCTGTCTTGGGACACTTCTCAGTGGCACTGATCTCCTGTCCACACTGCTGTCTCTGTGATTGGATCCATCGTGAGATGAAGGCCAGGAGCTGTCAGGAGGCAAGAACACACATGTGCGTTGTAGCTTGCATTTATGCAAATGTATCTTCAGGCTCTTCCCCCTGCCTCTGTTTACAAATAATGTTTGATTCTTTATTCTCCACCTAAAACATGTTATATGTTATCATCAGCATATATTAATTATCATGTAATATGGGTTTCATTATGATATTTTCATATATGTACATAATGTATTTCCATTTTATTCATTGCTCCAGCCTCCCAATAATCCCTTTCCTCTTCCCAACTAGTCTCCTTCTACTTTTGTGTGTGTGTGTGTGTGTGTGTGTGTGTGTGTGTGTGTGTGTGTGTATGTGTGTGCATGCATGTGAGAGAGAGAGAGAAAGGGAGAAAAAGGGAGAGGAGGAGGGAGGGAGGAGTGGGGAGGGGGAACATTGAGTTTCATGAAGGTTGTTCACAGGAACGTGGGTACCAAATAACTCTCCATCCCTCATCAGCTGTTAATGTAAGGAAGAGAGGGGGCCCATGAACCCCTCTCCCTTCTACGACAAGGTGTTTATAGGCCCATTCTCATAGAGATCATGTGCAGGTAATAACAACTGCTGTGAATTCAGGAGTGACAGGTGCCGTGGGAGTGCTGGAGCAACAGCTCAGCAGTTAAGGGCATGCACTTCTCTTGCAGAGACCCCAGGTTCAGTTCCCAGTACTCACATAGTGGCTTGCAACTGCCTGTAATTGCAGTTCCAGAGGCTCTGACGCCCTCTTCTGGTCACCAGGGGCTCCTGCATGCATGTGGTGCACCCAGACTTTCTTGGGTACGCACACATACCCATAAAAATAATAAATAAACCTTTTAAAAAATGAAGAGTGACCAGGGAGCTGGTGAGTCGGCTCAGTGGGTAAGAGTTCTTGCCGCCGAGCTTGATATCTAGCTTATCTGAACTTGATCTCTAGGACCCACATGGTGGAAAGAGAGCCCCATAAGTTGTCCTCGGACCTATGAAAATGTGCACGCAAACACACACACACACACACACACACACACACACACACACACACACACACACACACAGAGTGTAACAGCTATGCCATGCCTGGAAATCAGCATTCCACATCTCTTCCCACTGCTTCCTCTGGCTCTTGCATTCTTTGTACCCCTGGGCTTTTGAGGGGTGACACAGATGTCCCTTTTGTGGCTGGCCATTCAACCTAGAACAGTTTACATTAGGTTTGTCCACCCACCCCCTCAAGTGTGAAACATTACCCAGGAAACTCACTGTTCTAAATCACTATTGTCTTTAAGCAACGGCTGGCCCAGATGCTGTTCTGGGGACAGCAAGGGGTAGCCAAGAACCCCGAGGCCGCCATCGAGTGGTATGCTAAGGGGGCCCTGGAGACCGAGGATCCGGCACTGATATATGACTACGCCATCGTGTTATTCAAGGTGAGAATCACTTAATTTGGACTAAAATTGTTCAATTCTGATAATAGACATCCTGAGACATTTCCTGTGGGTGTGCAGGCAAACAGGGAGTCTTAGAACAAGCGGCTGTCACCTGTGATGGAGAGGGACACCGCTGAAAAGGAAGAGTCAGAAGCACTTCCCTGGGCGCATTTTTAATTGACAGTCTTACACTTGACACCTGGCTTCTCTATACTTCTGTGACATTCTGAAGGAGACACCCATATTTCACGGCTTGGGGCATAGCTGCCAGCCCCACAGGGGCTACACGTTTATCTCGGGTTCAATAGAGCATGTGTTTGGGTCAGACCCCAACTGTCTCAATAACGGGGGGGGGGGGGGGGGATGGGGAATGAATCTGGTTGACACCTAAGGAGGAAGGGCAGGGAAGAGTCCAGAAGACAGAGGGCAGGTATTAGAGCCCCACTGCTGCACCCATTGTGGATACCTTTGAAAAAACTTATGTCCTGGGATGATGCTTGTGATCATGAACCAAATGAAACAACATGACCAACGGGCTTTGGAAACTGTACCACACGTGTGCCTTTCACAAGATAGTCATTGTTGAATGAAGTCCTTGCTCCCTGCTTCACAAAAACTAGCACATTGAATCCTCATGGCCAGGGAGATGTTTTACGTAATTTCAGCATCCTATACTCATATAGAGCAACAGAGACACAGAAAGGTTTTGTAACTGACCCATGGTCACCCAGCCAGTGCCTTTCACACCTGGGGCAGGGATCCAGGCAGGCTGACTTTATGATCTGTGGTCTGTATACCCAAATGCAAATGTATCAAGTCACTAATCTCAGGAAAGTCTCCCATCCAAGTACAAATCAGACCTGACCCCACTTAGCTTCTGAAATCAGACTAGAACAGGTGCACTCAGGGTCGTATGACTGCAGACCCAAGATTGGAAATGGAGACATTCTGGCTTTGGTAAGGAAATCCTTGGACCTTATGCCCATGCCCCAAAATGAATGTCATCAAATAACCACATGTCACCTGTGTGCCTGGCCAGGCCTGTCTCCAGATCCACAGCTGTGGCCACTCACGCACTGACAACCATGATGTCGATAAAGCTCAATCCTCTAAACCCTGCTGAAGCCTGAAAACCTAATGGTTGTTATGGTTTCCAAATTGAGGCCTAGACCTTCTCTTTCCAAGCACCAAATCAACAGAAATTATTCGAATCTTCTCCATATGCCAGTGTGTTTATCTAATACACATCCACTCTGTGCTGGCCACATGCCAGCCTCTGTGCTCAGTGGAGGGACATATGGAGGCATGAGTCACATCCCTGGCCTCAGAGGGCTCATACACTGGAGAAGAAGACCGAGGACAGAAATGCTGTAGCAGAGAGATACCTGTCCCACCAGAGTTGGGGCCAGACACTGTGCAAAGTCCAGAGAAGAGGGAAGCATGAGTCAGGCATTGTTTCTGCCCACTGGCATCTGATGGTGTAGAATGGGATGCACATATGGGCATCTGTGACTGTAGGTGACGTGTTTCCTTGGGTCTCATTTCCCAGATTTTAAAGCTGTTTTTGTTTTGCTGGTGCTGTTGAATTCTGACTAAGTTATCTCTGGGAACAGTGCAGGAGGCCTTCATCAGCATCTCGGGAGAGCATTGCTTCTGGCAAGGAGCTCTTTTTAAGTATAGTCCACATAGAAGGGCCTCCCGTGGAAACGGGCATTCCAGATGTAAAGGCAATGGTGTGCGTTGGCTGTATAGGGCACCCAATATACCATATGCAAATATGACATCAGAGTGAGGGGTGTGGCTTGTCCAAGGTGGTCAAGTGCATCACCTCTTGCATGTGCCTAACCATGAAGCTTTGACTTTGACTCGGTGTTGTCCTCTGTCACTGAGTTCACACCCTCTGCCAGTGTTTGGCATTGGTCTCATTGAAGAACTTCCTGGTACTGCTCAGATTAGCATGTGGTGCAGGAAGTTGTTCGAGAAGTTACGTGATGAAGCCGACGAGAATACTAGATTAAACAGCAAGGATCCTGGAAACATTTCTACCCTGGAAACTGGAATATCTGGGTTCAGGGATATACTGTGTTCCTGTGAGCCTTCACATACATCAACCTCCCTCGTCCTGTTTCATTCCTTCAAAACAAAGAACTGAGTGAGATGAGCCTTGTGTTCTACTGGGTTTAGATGTTCTGTTAGTTCACTGTCTCTGATGCTCCTCAGGCAGTCCAAAAGTTGTCTTGTTCTCTAATACTTCTAGGTGTTCGTCTGTGTTCTCACCCTCTTCCTAATCAAATGACGTAATGGCATTGTTTTAGTTAGGGTTTCTGTTGCTTTGATGAAACACTATGACCAAAAGCAAGTTGCGGGGGGGGGGGAGTTTATTTGGCTTACACCTCCACATTGTTGTTCATCATCGGAGGAAGTCAGGACAGGAACTCAAACAGGGCAGGAACCTGGAGGCAGGATGCCGAAGCCATGGAGGGGTGCTGCTTACTGATTTGCTCCTTCCTCGTGGCTTGCTCAGCCTGGTTTCTTTTAGGACCCAGGTTCTTCTAGAACCAGTCTAGGGACAGCACCACCCACCATGGGCTAGGCCCTCCCCCTGTCAGCCACTAATGGAGAAAATGCCTTATAAGCTTGCCTACAGCCCGGTCTTGTGGTGGCATTTTCTTAATTGAGGTTCTCTCCTCTCAGATGACTTCAGCTTGTGTCAAGTTGACATAAAACTAGATAGCACAGTTATACTTCTGAAAAAAAAGATATTTCCATCCTACCCTTTGCATTAGTTTTACTAAATAGGTAAGTTACAGTCTAGTAGGAACTTGGGTGGAGTTTAACCCTTAGTTTGATTCTTATTTTTATTGGAGAGCCTGAAAAACATAGAGCTAAGTATACCCTTTGTCTTTGCCATACCATGCAGGAAGTTAGGCATCACTATACTCTCTAGAGTGGAACTAAAGTACATAGTAGACAGCATAGTATGTCGGTCAGAGGCTTAGTCTGTAGCTGTAAGTTTTCTCTGGTCCTGCCCGGCTCCCACGGCCTTGTGGTCCCACAGCCGTTCAGACTCAAATAAATACACACAGGCTTATATTATTTTTAAACTATCGCCATGATAGGCTTCTTGCTATCTAGATTTCATATCTTAAATTAACCCATTTCTATAAATCTATACTTTGCCACGTGGCTCGTGGCTTACCGGTATCTTTACATCTTGCTTCTCATGGTGGTGGCTGGCAGCGTCTCCTCTGCTCTGTCTTTCCTTCCTGTCTCTCTAGTTAGAATGTCCCGCCTAACCTTATTCTGCCTCACCATTGGCCAAACAGCTTTATTTATCAACCAATCAGAGCAACACATATTCGCAGCATACAGGACGATATCACCCATCATTAGTGTTCTTGCTTGTGTTCAAATCCTGCCTCCCGTTCTCACATATCATATGATTCTGGGGCGTCTGAGGAGGATGGAAATGTCAGTGGCTCCCTGTACGGTTGCTGTTATGGTTGTTTAGATGTGGTGATGGGGGTGCTGGTCCAAGATCACATGGTGTGTTAGTCACCACCTCCAGTTCTTAGAGAGTCAACCAACCAGAGCAGAGAGCTGGATTCACGCAAAGAAAGCACCCCCCCCCCCCGTGGTCATATCACGTGACCCTATGAGTCTTGTCTGAGTTAAGGAGGATCCCCTAAGGCACTGGGAGAGTGGAAGGGACCCATGATTATGAATAAATTTGATGCAACAGAGATTTTCAGTTGGCTCCCCTCCTGACATCAGGCTTGGGTCAAGACCTCAGGGACATCTTTCCTCTGCACTCTTGGACCCACCATTTCTCCACATAGTCCTTTAGACCCCTTAGAAAGATCCTTTTTTGCAACAAGAACTCCAAAGTCCATCTCTATATACAGAGGACAAGCCGCCTTTGCTGGAAATCTCCCATTTGCCAGAAAGAAACTTGTTAGCATCTGCCACTTGCCTTGGAGGCAGGAGACTGACTTCTCAGGGTCCTATCTCCTTTTCAACACACTCTCAAACTGATTCAGAAGCCACAGTGTCATACCCTGGGGACCGGAGCCAATAACTCTTGACTGTTCAACACAGATAACATGTTTTATCTGGGTGTCAAATTAGATAATTCCAGAGGAAAGCACCAGGATGACCAAACCCATCCAACCTGCCCGACGGCTTCTCCCCAAGCACCTGTGGAGAGATGGAAACACAGTTCATGCCATAATCAATATGGGGGGTCCTATTGCTATAGCTGATGAGCTGGGAGGTTGGAGTTTGTTTCTGTCCCACAAACATGAACAAGATGATGATGATGGTTATGGCAACAACAACAATGATATCTTGTGATATTGCTGTGCCTAGAAAAGCGATTGTGTGTGTGTGTGTGTGTGTGTGTGTGTGTGTGTGTGTGTGTTTTAAAGGTTCAGGGTTTATTTGCAAGCATTTGATATTGAACACTGGTGTCTCTGTGTGATGCTTGTGAGGATTCGGGGTTTATTTTCCTCATAATCATGGCTGTTTGTCAATGTTTAGGGTCAAGGAGTTAAAAAGAACAGACGGCTCGCCTTAGAGCTCATGAAGAAAGCTGCTTCCAAGGTAACCCATGCATATTGTCGGGAGGAAACAGCTCCTCACACACCCACGCTCTCAGAAAGCTGCGCAAGCAAATGGCCAACCTTCTTTCACAAAGCAGAGGTGGAAGTGAGGTGGGGAGGGGTCCCCCTGTGCAGCGACTAGTCATTTTTTGAGTTATAACACACACATAATCTTGCCACAATGAGGACAGCACCGTTCAAAGGCTGAATGCACCTCACCGCCAATAGACTCCGGGCTGATTTTGTTTGAAGGCTAAAATTATAATCACGAGCTGCCCTGATAACAAGCAGAGGGGCTCCTCGAAATTGAACAAGGAGAAAAGCCATTGAATTAGGGAAACCAAAGCCTAATTTCCTGGAAAGTTAACCCTGTTCTGACCAATTCCCATTCACTCCTTGTGCTTTGATAATGGGCTGTTTACAAAGATCATCACCAAGGTCAGAGCTTTATGAATTATTTTGCCTTTGTCACTATTTATATTTCAATAGTATCTTCAGTCGGCTGGTTTCAATAGAACCCTGCAGAATGGAGGCCATAAGAGCACTTGAAAGAGGACACACACAGGTACACACATGCACACATATGCGTGCATACTTCATGTCCAAATGCATGCACACTTAGTCCTCACACACACACCCCCACATGCACCTGTGTACAGAGATGCATGTGAATAGATTCACAGAAGCCATTCTGAGTCTCCACCTCGCCAGGGTACTCTATACCCTTTATGGCCCCTGGCTGGTCCTTTGTTCTCAAGGCTTCTAAAAGTAACCGTGCTAATTTTTCAACCTCACTCTTTTTCTCGGGGAAGCTCAGAGCATCCTGCCCCATAGAGCAAGTTGAAGCAGGGAGAAAGAAATTCAGAAGGCTTTCCTACCTATATGTTAGCAGTGCCCCTGACCCCACGTATTATGTGCATATGTGCTATTGACCTAATACAAGTGATGCACACAGAGAGAACAGCAGCTCTATTTGATGGTCATTGAGGGTACTGAGTCCAGAGCATCCTCAAGTGGGGGCTGTTTGAGGGTTGTCCGTGCAAGTGCGAAATCTGCACCTCTTTAGCCCCCCTTGTGGGGAATTCACATTCAGCCTGCTTTATTCAGATTACAAAGCATTTCGAAGTCTCTGTGTCCTTCAGTGCTGTGTGATTCTCAGACTCACTAAGGGCCCAGTGTTTGACAGGGACTGTGGGGAAAGTTCCTGCAACTCGATTTTGGGGATTAGAAGACACACAGATGTTCAGAACAAGGGCTGAGTACATAGGATTTCTTGTGGGTCCTTGAACTGAACCCAGAGCAATTCCCAGAGACGCACTGACTTTCGGCTTGTGGCAGGTTCATCTGAATTAGGCTGTATTCTCTCCAACCAAGCAATGAAAAACCATTCAGAGGCTCGCTTGCTGTGGGCATGTCCCAGAGAGAGATTTTGTTGCCATTTCATAGGATGCCTTGCTCTATTACTTCTTTAGACAGAGTCTGCAGTCCTTACAGGGAATTTACGTTGTCCCAGGCTCGTAAGAGTGCTTCTGTGAATGTCATGGTGCCGACTATGCTCAGGTGGTACTGTTGGGCTGGAGATCCCAGTGGCCTGCAGGCATGACTCTCCACCTGAAGGGTATAGGGTTTTGTTTGGCACCTGCATTCAGGGTGTAGCTTTCCTTCATTTGGCACTCGCTTAGGTGTGTACCCCATGCCGGAGATTAAAAACCAAGATGGCAGTCCCTCCCTGATGGAAGGGGAGGCTACCATGGTATGCTTCCACATTGAGACTGTCCTTACAAGTCCACAGACACAAGGGCACTGTTGGTCCCTCAAATCCTCCCCCCCGCCCAACCCCCGGTCTTCAGGTCAGGCAAGAACTGCGACATGAGAGCTCAGGGCGCACACAGGTGTGCGATGGCAGGGCCGGAGGCTCTCTCGGGATTATTCTCGCCCTGCAAGACAACCGAATTTTCGTCATCTGAGCATCTGGGAGAGTAGGAAAGAGTTCCCGATGAAATGCACTCAGTAAGAACCAGGACACTAGAGGACAGGTTGACACCAACAGCCCCTTCCCTGGAGCTGACATTAGCAGCTCCATTTTGAAACCTTTCCTCACCAGCCTTCTCTGCTGCTCCAGTCCCTATCAGACCCCGAATCCCATCAGAACTGGGAATGCCAGCTCATCTCAAAGCACCGAAGCTGTGCAAGCCGATTGTCACAGCTGCTGCCCTCGGAGGCCGGTTGGTGTTTAGGACAGAGGAATCAACAGATGGCCAGGCGGGTCACCTAGAGAGCATCCCAGCCAGGGCGGGCTTTCAATCTCAGACATCCTGCTGCAGCCCAGTTCTCATGAATCTGAAGGGCATGCCGGATCCTGCTTGGTAAGGAGAGGCATTTGCAGGGGTGTTACATAAAGGCCGTAGGCATTGAGAGATGATTTGGGGACCAGTGTCACTACTGAGGCTACAAGGCAGAACTCCCAGCAGCAGCCGGGCCAAAATCCACTTGGGAAGTCTCTCGGGCAGGCTCGTGCTGTCTAGCTGTTAGCTCTTCTTTAGTGCCATCTGCCCCTCGAAAACGAGAAAGGGAAAACTCGGGAAGAATGCTGCCACAGCAACTGCTTCCAGATGTCTTTAGATTTCATAAAATAACAATACTAATAATTTCCCTCTTGTTCTAAAATCCAGGGATTGCATCAGGCCGTCAATGGCCTGGGATGGTATTACCACAAATTCAGGAAAAATTATGCCAAAGCAGCAAAGTACTGGTTAAAAGCAGAAGAAATGGGGAACCCAGATGCATCATACAATCTTGGGGTCCTGTATTTGGATGGCATTTTCCCAGGAGTTCCTGGAAGGAATCTGGTGAGTGAACCCGAGATGGCTGTACACCTGGCCAGTGGCTGGTTGTGAATGCTTATGGAAGAAGGTATGCCGAGTGCCCATCCTAAACAAGGCATGGTAGGATGACAGGGATGTAAGAATACGGCCTGAGACATGGGCCTGCCCTCAAGGAGCTCAGGGTCTGGTGAGGAAGGCGTGACGGCCTTGAGGAAAAGAAGCACTTAGCCACATGGGAGATGATCCAAGTGCTTCCAGGGAGCAGAACCAAGGAAGGCCAGAGTAGCCGTGACGTCTTTGTAGAAGAGGAAGGCTTGAGTAGAGGGTGGAAAGGGAAACTATCCACCATAAGGGAGCAAGAGATGGTTCGGGAAGACTGACCTAAGGAGCAGAAAGGGCCAAGTGTGAGTAGAGTTGCCAGAGCCGAGACCAGAGTTACAAAGCAAAGAGCAGAGGCCATGTTTGGTGTTTACCGGGCACTTCCACACATGCCAAGCACTTCAGAAGTGCAGGTTCATGTATCCGAGCCCCTGGGACCTGGGCTATGTCTGTGCCCATCTTCTAGAATGGGCTACCAGGTCTCTGAGTCATTAGAGCTATCTACTTAGTTTGAGTCAGGGCCTAGTCCCTGATGTGAGATGGGAACCCTCTCTTCATGGTCTCTCTGCTGCTGGGAATCATAACTCAGAACTCTGACATATAGTCCCCTCTGCCGGGTACACTTATGGGCTCTGGACACACAGCGGTGGACACACCAGTCCCTGCCCTGATGAGAGAGACAGAGGCTGGGAGTAGAGGAGATGGAGGGATGCTGTTTTAGAAGGGGGACCATAAAAGCCATCTGGGAAGATGGCATTGTAAAGGCTTCTAAATAAATCTTATGGATATTTAAGAGAACATTCCAGAAAGAAGCAATGGTTAGGGCAAAGGCCCCAAAAAGGAAGCAAGCTTGGCATGCTAGAGGACCAGCATGAAGGCTGAGAGAGGAAGAGACTGGGGACAGATGGGAGATGAGGCCAAGGAGGTCCCTGACCACGCACGCCCTGGTTGGACTTGACATTTGTGCCAAGGGAGATGCAAACCACCAATAATAGTCTTGAAGGAGGGCCCTACTTGAGTGATGGAGGCATGCTTTCAAGAGACCCCTCCTGGGTCCTAGTGATTCTGACTAGGGGGGAGACAAGGACAGAAGAGGAGGTTGACCTTCATCCAGGTGAGATGGAGCAGGGAGGAGCCAAGGCTTTATTTACATGATTGGCTACCAAAGGTATTTCCAAGGTGGGTCGAGGAGGAAATAGGATTGGCTGATGGGTTGGATGGGGATATGAGAATGGGGAGGAGTCAGTGATGATGTATATTGAGATTAAGAGTGGAGGCTGGGTGGTGGTAGTGCATGCCTTTAATCCCAGCACTTGGGAGGCAGAGGCAGGAGGATCTCTGTGAGTGTAAGGCCAGTCTGGTCTACAGAGTTAGTTCTAAGACAGCCAGGGATACACAAAGAAACCCTGTCTCAGGGTTTAAAAAAAAAAAAAGGAAAATAATGGGGGTGGCTGAGGTGGCAGATGTTAGGATGCACAATATTATGGTCACCCTAGATTTGGCAAGAGGTATCATAATGGATTGGAGGTTTCTTTGTGAGACATCAATCTACCCTTCAGAACCTATCTTCACATGTAATCCTCACTTCACTCTCTCCACTAGGGACTGTCAGAAGTTTTTTGTTTTTGTTTTCTTAAAATTTAAGACAAGTAAATTTAAGACCAAGCTGACTTCAAACTTATTACGTAGCCAAGGCAAGCCTTGAATTTCTGAGTCTCCTCCTTCCACCCCTCCAAGGCTAGGCTTACAAATATATACCACCATGTCTGGCTTCAGAAGCCACATTTACAGTTGAAACCAAAAACCAAACAAACAACCAAAGAGGTTTGGAAAGAATAAGGCCACACAGACTGACAGACGACGGTAAACTGAGATTCGATCCCAAACCCCTCTTGCCTGTAAAGCACACGCTTCTTAAAAACAATAGTTCACCTCCTTCTGATATAAATAATGGTGATCAGTGGGCACACACACACACACACACACACACACACACACACACACACACACACACACATCCTAAATGTTTGTTTTCTTTTTTCCCTCCACCTCTCCCTGACGGCACTAAAGCTGATATTTTTATGCATCGCAAATGTCTGGTAGCCCTCCCACACATCTGTGAGCGTGGATTTATCCCCTGTCACATTCTAATTCTCACTTTCCCTCTAGAAGTGCAGTTTTTTGTGCACGAGCGTAAAGAAAGGATTAAGTGAGGTTAGGAAAGCAAATGCTTGAGTTTTCACGCGGCGTGACTCCTGTCACACTCCTCCACGAGCGGGCAGAGGTTTTGTGAGGACCCAGTGAGGTGGCAGGGCGCTCCTGGTTACAAGGTGCCTTCCTCATTGGGTAAACTTAATCAACAGCATAGTTCTCAGTGAGGTCGGATATCCCGGGCCTCTGGGATGAACTGTCTTTTTGGAGCCATTTCTTGACCTGTTTCGCTTTAAAGTATCCGAAGACATAAGCCTGTGATAACGTTGGGCTTAAAGGACCTGCGACCTTGGCTGTGCCGAGGCCTGTGTGGCCAGGAGGACTCCGCACTAATGAGAGGGGCTCCTGTTCATCTCCTTGCAGACGCTGGCTGGTGAATACTTCCATAAGGCTGCACAAGGAGGGCACATCGAAGGGACGCTGTGGTGTTCTCTTTACTATATCACGGGCAACCTGGAGACCTTCCCTAGAGATCCGGAGAAAGCTGTTGTGTAAGAATCTGTCAGATGTCCCCTACCGTTGAAAAGCCATGTCCTCTAGTCACCTTGCCTGACAAAAGGGGTATCTTTTTTCCCCTCTTTCCCTCCCTCCCTCCCTCCCTCCCTTCCTCCCTCCCTCCCTCCCTTCTTCTCCCCTCTCACACTTTCCTCCCCTTTCTGTTTATTTCTTTATCCCTCGTTACACTTTTTAAAACTCAGTTTTTGCATTTATCATTCATACATGCATGTAGATTTAAAAGGGAAAAAAAAGCAAATAATTGGGGCTGGAGAGAGGGTTCAGAGGTGAAAGGCACTTGCTGTCCCTGCCGAGGACCTGGGTTCGAGTCCTAACATCTGCATATCAGCTCATGACCATTTACAGTCCTAGTCTTGGGGTTCCAATGCCCTCTTTTGACCTCCTCAGCTACCAGGCCACACATGTTACACAGATAGACATGTGGGTAAAGCATCCATAAAATTAAAACGCATAAAATTATAAAAAAGAAAACCAGATCATTGACAGGCAAAGTATTTAAAATCTTTAATTAAAAAAATCCAGCAAGACGAAGCAAGCAATCTCAGCCCCCACCCTCCACCCCACTCCGGTTCCCGATCCATAGACTCTGTCACTGTCTGACTGTTATGTCTTCTTCCCTGGCCTCCACCTCCAAGCAGCAGGCTGCCACCACTGTCTTTAGTATCCCCATCACAGGCCTCGATTAGTGATACTTCCTGGGAGAAGGAAGGCATAGTTTTATTTCTCTGCTACCTCCCAGGACCCGGCACACCGAGGCTTCCTGTCTGCTACCGTCTTCCCGGGAGCTTTTTGTCTTGGTTAGAATAGTATCAGGATTGAATTGATATGACTAAGCCATGAATCATACTAGCCTCGCCTTTTCTTTCTTGTACAAGTTTCTGTTGAGGAATTATTATTTTTGTTCTCTGTATATATGAATCATTTTCCATATTCTTTTAAGAAATAGACCTTTATTTATTTTTAATTTTTTATTATTTCATGTGCGTGGGTGTTTTGCCCGCACATATGTCTGCATACCACATGTATGCCTGGTGCCCAAGGAGGAGGCTAGCAGAGGTGGTCGGATACCCTGGAACTGAAGTTATAGGTGGTTATGAGCAATGATGGGGGTGCTGGGAACCAAACCCAGGTCCTCTGGAAGAGCAGCCAGTGCTCTTAACTGCTGAGCCATCTTCCCGTCATTTTCCATATTCTTGATCCAATTCTCCTGTCACTCAAGTCCCCTCTCAGGGTGCCCAGACACATCGGGTCTATTCTATTAAGTTAACCTTTTCACAGTGTTTTTCCTGGAACCTTTGGGGGAGGGGGTTCCTTTTGGGGTTGTGATCCTGAGATGGACTGTGTCCCCTGTTGGGGCTTCCTCTTCCCTCTCTGTTTTTGGCAGTGTTTTGACACTCCAGGCTGGTCCTTGTCTTTCTCAGTCCTTTCCCCAGTGTTTTGTGGGAACATATTCTGCAACAACTTCCTGAAGATTGGTGAGGAGGCCCACTTTTTAAGAAGATTCATTGATTTTTATTTCATGTGTGTTTTGCCTGCGTGTGTGTCTGTGCACCATGTGCATGCAGTACTCACAGTGGTCAAGAGAGGGCATCAGATCCCCTGGACTAGAGTCATAAGCAGTTGTGAGCCTCATGTGGGCACCGAACATGGATTCTCTGCAAGGTCATCAAGTGCTCTTAACCACTGAACCATCTCTCCAGCCACCCAGGAGGCACATTTTTAGAGTCTTGCCTACCCAAAATGCTTTTCAGAGTCTAGCCTGTGGTGGCTCGTGGATGAGATGTGGTTTAGTGCCTGCCCTGCAGATCTTTACAAGCCTTTTGCATTTTTAACAGGTTATAAAGCAAACAAAGAATAACCATCTAGGACCTCCAACGTTGGTATCTCACCCTTTATAGAAAACAGAAAACATGACTGACTCTGCCTTTGGCTGCCTCTCACCTGTAGCCCAGCTCCCTAAAAGGCTGTTTTCCTAAGACATTTGGGATCAAATCTGTTCTGACTTTACCTTGGTGAGAAAACTCAGGCTAATTTGAAGCCCTTCTCATTGTTATGTAGGGTATTTGGGGTGAGCATTCACTCTGTAGCTTTTCTTAGTACTCTTTTGTCCTGGGTGATCAGAGAGCATATTCATCGTGACCTCAGTCCTTGGGATCTTGCTGAAGCAGGCTGGGGGAGCAGCGTGTGAACAGTGTTGGAAGGTGCTTTGTGCTGTCTTTCAAACAGGCTCTTCTAGACTCGCTGGGTACAGTGTCTGCATACACTGCCACACCAAGTTTGTTGACTGCGTTGTTCTGCATCCCTTCTGGCTTTTCTTGTTCTGCTTCTTAAGCCATTTGCTGAAAGAAATGTGTTAGAACGCTCTGTATATATAGACTTAACTTGTTCCCTTACAGTTATGTCAATTTTGTGCCGTGTGTCTTGAATTTATGTAATTGGGTCACATAGGTTTATTTTGATTTTCTGGGGGACTCTTTCGTAATTTTACAGTGTCCTTTTTATCTCTGTTAGTGGGCACTGCCTTAGTCTCCATTTACTTTAATTCATTCTCTGTCCTTTAATGTATCACTTTCTCCCCTTTGTTATAAAGCTCTTGTAAGCAGCATATAGTTGAGTTTTACATATTAATTATTCCATCTGACAGTTTTAGTTTTTAATTGGCATACTTAGTCCATTTACATTTAGTGCAATTGTAGATACCCTTGGTTTTAAATCTACTGCTTTAGGACTGGAGAGATGGCTCAGTGGTTAAGAGCACCTATCGCTCTTGCAGAGGGAACCCTGGCAACTCACAGACATCTATAACTCCACTTTTAGAGATTCCAATGCCTTCACTTGACCTCCGAGAGCACCAGGCATGCATGTGGTGCACATGTGTAGGCAAACACTCAAACACCAAATAAAATAAATAAATCTCGAAAATCTATTATTTTATTATTTCCTATTTACCCTGTCTGGTTAATTTTTCGTCTTTTGCTTCCTCTTATTCTTTTGTATTAATCTATTGTTTTATAAGTAATTCTGTTTTCCCCTTCTATTGACTTGTGGCTATTCATTTTTATACTTTTTATTTCTTTGGGTTTGCTTTTGGTTTTTTTGGCCTAAGTTTTTTTTTTTTCTGCAGTTCTGTCTCTCCTGAAGCTCCCTATATAGACCAAGCTGGCATCAAACTTACAGAAATCCTCCTGCTTCTGCCTCCTAAGTGCTGGGATTAAAGTTTGTACTACCACACCTGGCAAAGTTTTATACTTTTTTTTTAAGGTCTATAGATCACAACACATTAACTCATTGCTAATAAACCCCTCTAGGATACAATAGGGAGCAGATTAAAAACAAAGAAACCTTATCACACGCCTTGGTTGTCTATTGTTGTGATAAGACACCATGGACAAGGCAGGTTATAGAAGAAAGGGTTTTGGGGGATTACAATTGCAGAGGGTTAAGATTTGTTAGCACTATGGTGTGGAGCATGGCAGCAGGCAGACATGGTATTAGAGCAGGAACTGAGAGCTTCGCAGCTCGATCCACAAGCACAATGGAGAGAGAGAGGAGGGAGTTGAGAGGCACTAGGAATAGCACTGGAGGCTTTTGAAACCTCAAAGCCCAACCCACTGGGACACACCTCTTCCAACAAGGCCACACCCCCTAATCCTTCCCAAACAGTTCCATCAAGTGGGGACCAATTATTCAAACATAGAAGCCTATGGGGGCCATTCTCATTCAAACCACAAGACCATATGTCAGTAAATGCATATATTTGTTTATTTTTATGGTACCAAGGATTGAACCCAAGGCCTGACACATACTAAGCACTGTTGTACCTCTGAGCTGTGCTGATAACGCCAGTGAACTTATTTTAATAGGAACAGCTATAGAACCCTTGGCGGAGATGTCTTCCTATATCAGTAGACTTTTACATTATGTGCATTACTTGTCTTTGTTTCCATAGCAGGCTGCTACTCAGCATTTGTAAACGAGAACATTGAACGAGGGCTCTCAGAATGCATTCTCTTTGCCTTCTTAATATTCTGTTCTGCTTTGTTGCTTTATAAAAATTCAAACAAGAAAATACTCCCCAAGTGGGATTTATGGAGCTCGTATGAGGAAAGGTGATTATTTAATCTGTGGCAGTCTGCATATTTTCCCTTCTCTTTCCTTTCTTTTTCAGATGGGCGAAGCACGTGGCAGAGAAAAATGGATACTTGGGTCACGTCATTCGCAAAGGCCTCAATGCCTACCTGGAGGGACTGTGGTAAGCTTGGGACCCACGTCAAAGTAAACTTCCTCAACCCTTCACGTTCAACCTGTCAACATAGTCTTAGGAGAGGGAACCTTCAAATGCAACCCCAAAAGCAATTTGCAGGGAAATCACAGCCTCCCAGTAATGATATTCAGAGTCACACGGGCTGATTGGCTGTTGATTGGAAAACATTGCATTTCCATGTTTAATTATACACAAAAATTAGTTCTCTAGGGGGGAGTGTCCACATTCATCAAGTTGAGAGACACACGCGTACATTGATTTCTCTTTCCTGTTTGGCTTGGCTGTAGAGTTAGAAATGATACCACAGTCCTGGGTAAGAGCCCTCTTCACTCTGCCAGGCTGCTCAAAGCCTGGCACATGCACTCAGTTGGTGGGTGAAGAGACCATTTGTAAGGTCAACGCTCTCCTTCACAAATAGTTGACTATACCTCGGAACCCAGTGTTGCTGGCTGTCGTCTCCTGACAGATGCCCCTTTCCTGACCTTGACATGGGTAACCCACCCTGTCCTGAAGAGATGAGATCCTCTGCATCTCTTGTCACCATTTGGTGATTTCATAAACGGCCGGGCAGCTTTCAAGCACCACCTGCCTTCTGCTTCCCTTTGTTTTCTTCTGTGGACTCCAGCACTCCATCTTTGCTCCCTCAGGACACATTTTCTTGGCTGGTTTATTGCCTAAATGATCTGGGTATTTCCATAATAACGAAAATGGATATGCAAATCATCAGAAATCCCCTCGGTCCACTGCCTCAAAGACATTAGACCAGACCTAGAATAGATCACACTCTGATATGAACCTTAATTAAAAATAAAAGCGTAGGCCCAAAAGGATGCCATTTTCCCTTTTGGTCCATAGCTGAACCAACAGATCAGTGAGCAAGGATCTTAAATCAAAGCATGCTGGGAAATGAGCCTCTGGAAAAAGCACCAAATACAAATGTTTGTTTTGTCGCCCTGGAACCGTTCGTTATCTACAGCTTCCCCGTGCGTGATCAAGAAGAAGTTTCTTTACATGAAATAACTGTCCCCGACTTTGAACATGCCTCACCATTTCTGTGCTGTGTTAACTTGTTTCCCAAGTGAACTTGAGTTCCTAAGAATCTCAAACCCGGGCCTGGGAGTGACGGTGCACACCTTGAGTCCCAGCACCCTGGGAGACCAAGGCAGGAAGATCACAGCGAATTCAAGGCCAGCTGGGTCTACGTAGTGAGTTCCAGGCTAGCCAAGGCTACATAGAAAAAAAACCCTGTTTCAAAAACAAGCAAACAAAGAACCTCTCTCAAATCCAACCTTAACCTCCCCTCTCTTCTTCTCACGAGCTTCTTAGGGTGAACCGAACACCTAATTATCAAAGCGTTCCTTTGTGGTGTTTTCCTCAAAGAGGAGCGTGTCTGTAAACACACTTGGGCCTGCAGACACACCCTCAGATGTCTGACGCCTGAGTTTCCGTACAGAGGGTTTGCAGATCGTTTTGTTTCCTTGCCCGCTTTTGAATTAAACTTCACAAAAGCACTTCAGCTCACACATTTTAAAACTTGCCTCGGAGGGTTAGACCAATAGGGATGTGCATGTTTTGTTTTCTTTCTTAAAACCCAGCCACAGTAGGAGTTCCCCGACACAAGCTGTGGGTGGCAGGGGAAGAGACTAGAAGTGTGTGCTGCCCCGTGTGTTAAGACTCACTGTCATGGGCCAGAGGGATGGTTAAGTGGTTAACAACGTGCGCGCTGTTCTTCCACAGGACCTGAGTGTGCCTCCAGCACCCACATCAGGCAACTCACAACCAACTCCAGGGCCGTATCACTCATACCTCTGGCCTCTGTGGGCACCTGCACTCATGTGCACATTTCCACACAGACACGCATACACATAATTAAAACATAATAAAAATCAAAGATAAAGAAGCCTAACGGTATGGCACTTTCAAAAAACAAAAAGTATTATTATTAAAAAAAAAAAAAAGATTTACTGTACTGCCTAAATGTTAGGGCACCTTGCCCTTGGCCACGAGGATGGCAAGTGTCACACTTGGGACTGTTCACTGTCCCTCCTCTTCCATGTGTGTTTTCTCGCAAGGCCTGTGTTCAGTCCGACTCCGAGCCTCTGCACTTACCATTTCTTCTACCCAGGAGTCCTGGCCAACTCCTTCCCTCTTTTGTCCATCATGGGCAGGCCTGCTCCTAGCTTGGCAGTTGTTGGAGGGCTGTATCACAATGCCCTGCACATGGGAGCACCTGGGAAGCATTCCGAAACCACTGAATGAATTAACGGAGGTGAACCGATGAAGAGCCGTGGCGTGAGCTTCGGAAGTTTGGATGAGGAAAAGATGCTACCTAGTTCGGGAGGCTTGGGACAGCCTTGAGGACAGAATTAGGGAGAAGGCCGCCTTGAAGGATGGGGAGAGTGTCCTCTGAGCCTGCAGGGGGCAGAGTTTCTAGCAAAGAAAGTTGCAGGAGCCTAAGTAAAGAAACCAAAGATTGAGTGCCATTGGAAATGGTTAAGCCGTTTGCAGCAAGGGCAGCTATTGAAGAAAATATGGTGATTATGAGTGACAGAGTATCCACTTAATCGGCGACAAGAATGGAAGGGGGCAAGTTCAGAATCCAAGTTAAGGGAGCCGAGCATTTGAACTGAAGCTGTGGCTTGAATCAGTTGACCGATTCGCCTTTGTTTATGTGATAGAGACCCCTGCAAAACAGTATGTGACATGCACATGAGTTCAGAAGCTTACAAGAAAGTGCAGCAAAGGTCTACCTTATCTAAGAAAATGAGCATGAACCGAGGATCGTGGTGCATGCCTTGGAACTCAGCACTGAGGAGGCGGAGGCGGAAGGCTCCGAGGTTCAAGGCCAGCCTGGGAAACTTAGTGAAATCTTTCATCCAGGGAGAGAGGAAAGGAAGGAGGGAGGGAGGGAGAGAGGGCTGAGTGTGGTTGTAATCCCAGCACTTGGGAGGCAGAGGCAGGCAGATCTCTGTGAGTGCCAGGCCAGTCAGGGGTTACTCAGGGAAGGAGGCAAGCTTGAAAGGAGAGAGGGGAGGAAGAAAGGATCAGAAGCAGGGGAGCGGGAGAAGGGAGGGACAATAAGCATTGCTCTGGTCCTCTGCTGGTGAGACTCCTACATGTCCCTCCCAGACCGAATTCCACCACCACCCCAGTACCTGGAAGTACTTCTTAGCCGACTCTTCTTCTGCACCCACCCACCTCTGTTTGCTTTTAGATTCTTCTATGGATCTGGATATGTGGATATGTTGGCCTGTAGTTTGGTTTGGCTTGTTTCCGACCTTTATAGTGTTTAAATCATTATCCGTGTAATTCTTCACCTGCCTTTTCAAGTTAACATGCTTCCACAGTTCAGTTCCTGCCTCTGGGTAACACTGCATGCAGCACATCCTCGGTGGTCACACATGTTGAAGGTTCTCATGTTAATGCATATTTGTGTTTCCTTGGTGTTGGCTTGAAGGCCCACATGGCTTGAAGATTGGGCCAGAGGACCTGTTGACAATTAAATTTGCCAGTGGGGTTCCTGGGTCTCTGCGTAGGCACCTGTTTTCTGTTCAGCCGTCCACAGCGATGCTCTGCTGTCTCCCAGAATGGATCCCTTTGCTCTCCTGCCCATCATCTACACATCTCTGCCCCTTCTTGTCCTTGCCAGTCTTAATACTGATGCTAAGTATGGCTGACGCAATCAGTCTGGATTTGAAACTTTAGTCTGACAGGGAAAAAAAAATCATCTCTATCCATCACAGTGGGAAGATCTTTGTCAAAATATATTTGGAGCAAAGTGCTTCTAAGGTTTCCTGCCCTTCCAGCCTCGCAGCCCTCCCCAGGGGTAAACAGGAAATAGACATGCGCTTCTTCCAGCCTCCGACTGGGAGGTACCTTCTCTTTTGCTGTAATAGAACTAAGGCATCCATCAATGTCCCCAGCCTCTGGACGTTATTTCCAAATTACATGTGTCAGTTTGATGGGCTTGTGGCTTTTTCTGTTGTTCCATGATTTATGTGGAATTTGTTTAAGAGAAGATGGTGGTGGGGAGAGGAGCTTTTGCTGCCTTGGCATGGCTTGGGAGATAATGTTGTCTTGCCTCAGGCGGCCCTCGGACACTAGAAGGAGTTAGCAAGGAAGGGCCAGCTGTCATGTTTCATTTCAGTCCGCTTGGTTCCTGTGTATTTTATCTTCCAGCTGTGAGTTTGAATGCCCTTTGTCTTCAACACACCCCAAGTATTTAACCCTAGAGGTTAACCAGCATACGCGACATGGAGGCATGTGGAGCTGAGGAGAGTCACTGTTTTGTAATGCAGCAATGAATTCCACGGGGCGACCCTAAATGTTAGTTTTGGGGGGCTTTTTTGTTGTTGTTTTTCTCTCATCTTTCTTGTCTAAGCTGCTTCAGACATTAGCACAAAAGAGCACAGAGGAAATAGTTTTACTGTTTGAGGACCCACTCAGAGAGCTCAACCTCACCGTTCACACAGCCCTCATGAAGATGCATCACCAGGAAAGTGCTAGGAACATTTTATGCCACATCTGAGACGAGAAGGTAGAAAATGTGTCTGAGTCCTTTCTCCGTGAGTCCCTTCTGGTTTGTGCCCTTCTGACCTTTCTGTCACAGCGACTGTCACGGAGGGGTTGTGATTCCGTGCATGGGGATGCTATTTGCCCTTCTCCACCTTGAGGGGTACCGTGGAAGAACAAAAAAGCTTTGAACTCTGTCTTTGGGCTTCTGGGGATGAGCAAATGTTTCAGAATGTAAGAGTAGAAATATCTGTAATTAATACTTTGACATGATTTCAGTGGAGATAGTCAAATGAATGCCGGGAGGTTACATGTGGTAAAGTCCATGTCTCAGAATTGTGTGTGTGTGTGTGTGTGTGTGTGTGTGTGTGTGTGTGTGCATGAGTACGCACATGCCACACATGTGGAGGCCAGAGGCGGACATGGGATTTCTTCCTCGATTGTTGACAGGCTGCTGCTGAACCTGGAGCTCACCCTTTCAGCTAGGCTGGCTGCCCTGCGATGCCCCAGAGATCTGCCTGTATCCCACCCCACCCCACCCCAGTCCCCACCAGCTCTAGGGTTACAAACACATGCTGCCATGGCTGGCTTTTTGTGTCGGCGTAGGGAATCTGAACTCAGGTCCTCATGCACACACAGCAAAGCCCTTTATCCACCGAGCCATCCGCTCAGCCCTTCAAAGGTTTAGTCAGTGGGGAAGGTTGGTCTGTAGTGTCTCATTCCCTATAGACTTCCACTGTTCAGTAGGAAATGTGATGACGTCAGGCACACAGGCATTGGGTGATTGATTGTGCCAGATGGAAGATGAGGTGGATTTCTGTTGAGCCCTGATATTGACATAGATGCTTTTAGACATCTCATTTTGACAGATCTCAGTTCTTCCTTGATGGGAATGTTCCAGAATCCTGCTAACTTTCCTCTCGGTTTATGTAATAATTGGACAATGGAAGTCTCCCTTCTCCCTCCTGTCACCAAGGTCACTTGAGAGATGAGGCGCCGTCATTACAAGCTTTGTCTAGTAACTGTTCTTAAGGAGGATGTCGGTCTCAAGCTCACCTCCCAGTCCTCAATTCTCACAGCCAGCTGATGTTTCTCTTGCTCAAGGAAAGCTCCTTGCATTATGTTTTAATAATGTGAGCCTGTTCCATCTCTTCACGGCCCAGATCTTGACCTTGGGTTGTAAATCAATATCATGTCCTTCCCTTGTGCCTTTTTTCTTTCTTTTTTTTTTTTTGAGACAGGAATTCTCTCTACGTAGTTCTGCCTGTCCTGGAGCTCGCCATGCAGACTGGGCTGGCCTCAAACTCTCAGACTCACAGAGATCCTCCAGCCTCTGCCTCCTGAGTGCTCGGACTAAAGGTATGTGCCACCTCGCCTAGCCCTCTCGTGCATTTTGGGCAGAAACCAAGGCATGAGTACAACCCAAGTATCTCTGAAACAACTTGAGATTTTTGAGACCTTAGGTCTCAGGCTGTAACTCAGTTGATAGAGTACTTGCCTGGCATACATAAAGCCCTGGGTTCGAGTCCCGGCATCCATCGTGGTGGTACACTCCCGCAATCCCAGTACTCACAAGGTGAAAATAGTAAGTCAATGCCATCCTCAGTTTCACAGCGAGTTCAGGCCAGCCTGGGGTACAGACCCATGAAACCCTACCTCAGAAAGAAGTGGGGGAGGGAGAATATGTAAGACTAGAACCTTGCTGCAGAAGGATGTAGCTCTCTGCTGGGTCCCGCTGACATGCTTTCTGGGATCTGCTCAGAGGAGGCTGGTACCCAAACATGGTTGTTACAGGCTGTGCGATATTTACGGTACCGTTTCGGGCTTGTTACTTGTCTTTGCAGGGGACACTGCTCAGCTGACCTTGACTCTCAGTATGATCACAGCTGATGGGTCTGCTGTCTTGGGTCTCTCATGGGCTGGGGGTTGGCTCCCTTTTCAGCTACACAGCCCATGGCCTCCATGTGTCTGATGAAGGTCTGACTGTCCTAGCTTGATCTCCAACCACCTCTCTGGCTCAAGGTGTGGGCTGCCCAAAGCTGCCCACTCACAGTGATGACGTCAGACTGTTTACCTGGTTTTGTCTCACCCATGCTCTCCCCACCCTTCCCCCAGTCCACCTCCAAAGTAGTGCTAACATGAAGAAAACATTACCAATATCAACTGCACCGAGTGAAAAATAAGCTTTGGAAACAACTACTTATGATTCATTTTTGCTCATAAACTAGGCCATATACATAATTAAGGAAGCAGGTAATTAAAAGGAAGAAAATAAAAATTGCATGTACTCTCCCCAAATGAGTTAAGAGTTAAGGTAAGAAAAGAGGGAAGCTAGCATTGGGCCAAAGAGCCTTGGGGGTTTGTCTTCTGTGTGTGCATTCACACGGGTGCATATACATGTTCCGTTTCACTTTGCTTTTGCAGCCCACAGCTTTGTGTATGATAGGGAAGCACTCTTCCAATTGAGTTCAACCCAGACGCCAGTTCTGTTTTTTAGACATGGTCTCATGTAGCCCAGACTGGCCTCCAATACACTACTTAGCCAAGAATGACCTTGAACTCTGAACCCCCTCCCCCTCTTGCCTGGCAAGCGCTGGGATTATGGGCATGCACCACCACACCATCTTGTGACATTACTTTCTGAACAACCACGTCTGAAAGCAGCTACACCCTGGAGTCTTTGCACCACTCAATAGATGTCAGATACATGTTTCCTGTTTTCTTTCTTATTGTTCTTATGAGCAGCCCTCCCACAAACTCCTTGACAAGGGAATCTTTGTAGATAGCTCTGATTTTTCCCTTTTGAATAAAGCCCACAGGTGAGATGTGTGGGACCATGTGGTACACATTGATGCTCCTTGGTTTGGCATGACTATTCCGTCCTCCAGAGGCATCATGTCCGTGGCCCTCCCTCCATCAGGGGATGTCGGGCCATATCTATAGGCCCAGGCACCTTGTCACAACTCCATGCAGAAATCCCAGGCCATTACCTGCTGCAATGTTCAACACTTATTCTGTTGTCTGTTTTGACCACTGCTGTCAAGCCCTGTAAACCACATTTCTTTTGCCCACTTTCTAATGCACAACAAAAGCCCTGCTTAATTAAGCTTGTTCAGAACCCTGAGTCCTAGAAAGCCTTTCATGAAACAGAGCGCTGTAAAGCTCAGGGATTTTTCTTAATACCACTCATCCTAAACGATGCAGGGAGGCTTCGAGAACCTAGGACCTGCAGACAGTCCCCAGCCAGCGTGGCCACATGCCGTTCAGCCAGTAGAGGTAGCTGTTGTATCGAGTAGCTCCTGGCCTTATCTGTCCTTTCAGCTTTTAAGAGAAAATAAATCAGAGCAGGCAGTATTTTTAACAACAGTATTTATTTAAAGGGGGTGGGGGGCAGGAGGAACTCATGATTTTGTGGTTTTAAAAAAACTGCTTATTTTTGCCCTCTTCTGTTTGAATATAAGGCTCTCTGAGTATTAGTAAGAGCCACTATATGAAATTTATTATTAATCATCTATTTTTAGGCACGAAGCTTTGCTGTATTATGTTTTAGCAGCAGAAACTGGAATTGAAGTGTCACAGACAAATTTAGCACACATCTGCGAGGAGCGGCCAGTAAGTAATGTATTCTATTCTTCTTTCGGTAGAAGCTCTGAGGTTAAAGATAATGAATTGAGTTTTACAGGGGCAAAATTAGTCACTGGACCAAAATATTAGTGAATTAACTTTCTGTCCCCTTCCCCTCCTAGGACCTGGCTGGGAGATACTTGGGCGTTAATTGTGTTTGGCGATACTATAATTTCTCTGTTTTTCAAATCGATGCCCCTTCGTTTGGTATGTATAGAAAAACAGGTGCTAAGCTGGAGTGTTGGGGAGGTTTTAATCTATAGTCACAGGGACCATCTAACAGTTTGGTAGGGAGTGTGATATTTCTAAACAATTAGGGAAGAAAGTGAAAAATGTCTGCTATTAAGGTCATGGCTAAACTGCTGTCAGCCTCCTGCTGTGTACTTCCTGCAAGCCAGCAACTCCTTCCAAACCAAGACGTCTCTGAAGAGACCGCTGTTATGATGCGGTTCCCTGGGCTGTGGCCTGGTCCTTTGTTTTTGTGCCCCAGATGGGCTCCTGGACCCTCCATTCTGGTTTCTGGGTAGAGGCCAGCCTCCAGGAATTACAGTGACCAGACTCCTTTGTCTAGAGCATTCAGGTGAACTTCTGCCAATTTGAAGTACTGTTGGCAGATTGCATCATGGGAGGAGGGGCAAAGTCCAGGTATACCTCCACCTTTCTCTTTGCACCCAGCTTCTGGTTGCAGCCCTTCAGTGTTCTGGCTCCCACCAGCCACCTCGGTCATCTTTGATCTCAGCTCTCAGGGGCCACAAAGCCCTGGCACTGTCACATCTACCCTCCCATACCACCCTCTTGCACACTAAGGATGACATTTGCTTCCCCAGTCCTGATTACTAAACCACCTCCGGGTTCCTGTTTACCCCTTATGCTCTCCCAACACCAGCACCCACTTTCCCGTGGTGGAAGTCCTGTGTACAGCTACTAGAGATGGACTCCGCATTTCTCTTTGGGCAGTGAGTTGCAGCTATACCCTTAAGCAGATGAAATACATGACTGAAACAAAGTCAGAAAGGTGCAGGACGTGTGCAGGACAGGCCACAGCACTGTAGCTGTGACACAGGATCAGAGACAGCCCCAACGGATGGGTTGTGAGCCTGCTGATGGCCATCCTCCCGAGCAGATCTGTGCAGGGAGCCAACATGGAAACCCAGTAGTATGTCGACAGATGCAAGTGCTAAGGGCCTAAGACTTCCACCAAGGAAAACATGAAGATGTTTGTTCCACTGTCCTTTATGTTGCTATGATACAAGCACCCTGGGAAGGGAAGTGTCTGTTTGGCATAAGCTTCCAGGTCATATTCCATCAATGAGAGGAGTGGGGGGAGGGTGGGGGAGCTCAAGACAGGACCCTGGAGACAGAAACCATGGAGGAATGCTGCTTCCTGGTTTGTTCTGTGGTGTTCTCATTTACAGGCTTATGTTTATTATATGGACTTTCTTATATAGCCCAGGAACACACCCGCCTAGGGATGGTGTCACCCACAGTGGACTAGGCCCTCCTTCTTCAATTTTAATCAAGATAGTTCCTCACAGATGTGCCCACAGGCCAATCTGGCCTAGGCAGTTCCCCAGCTGAGAGTTTCCTCTCAGATGACTCCAGGTTGTATTAATTTTACAGTTAGAGGTTGACAATTAAAGTTAGAACAGTGTTTTACAGGCATGTATAAACGTATTATGATAGGTAGGAAACATCAATAATGTAACATGTTGTTCTAAAACAGCGTGTCTACATGTGGCCCCAAGAAAGTATAGAATACAACTAAAATCAGAACCATAAACTTTCTTAAAACATTATGACCTTTTATTGGTTTGTTTGTTTGCTTGGTTTTTTTTTTTTTTTTTGGTTGTTGTTAGTTGGTTGTTTGTTTTTGAGACAGAATCTTACTATGTAGCCCTGGCTGTCCTGAGACTCACTGTGTAGACCAGACTGGCCTCGAACTCACAGAGCTCTTCCTGCCTCTGCCTCCCAAGTGCTGGGATTAAAGGTGTGCACCACCACATCCAGCCATCATTATGACTTTTTTCACATTTTTTTTTTTTTTTTGTTACTTGATTGCCTGGTTCTAGATCATGAAATTTTAGATTACAATGTCATATCACAGTGTCACCCAAAATAAGCATGTATGCTCTCCTAGCCTATGGGCAATGGCTTAGAAACCCCTGGAAATAAAACTGCCTGACGAGTAGATACATGTTTTGTGTTCTCCAGCATATTTGAAGATGGGAGACCTTTACTACTATGGCCACCAAAACCAGTCCCAAGATCTGGAGCTGTCTGTGCAGATGTATGCCCAAGCAGCCCTGGATGGAGACTCCCAGGTAAGCAACAGTAACACCCAAGGGAGCACAGTATGTACTTCCAGCACCCGGGAAGTGATAGATCCCCGAGCATCAGGAATGCATGCGTCAGAATGCCTCATCAGTGGCAAGCTTATTTTAGCTACCTGGTGTGATTAAAATACCCTGGCCAAAAGCAACTTAAGGGAGAAAGGGGTTGTTTGGATTCTCAGTTCTTTGTGACAAGGAGGGAAGGCATGAGCACATTAGGGAAACTGGAGACTGGCTTGTCACACTCAGGAAGCAGAGAGTGAACAGGAAGTGAGGCTGGGCTGTAGAGTATGAAGACCAGCCCCCAGTAGTCTACTTCCTCCAGGGAGGCTCCACCTCTTAAAGGTTCTGCAACCTTCCCAAACAGTGCCACCTGCTGGGGACCAAGTGTTCGAGCACATGAGCGTATGGGGAACATTTCACATTGAATCCACAGCAGGTGATGTCTGTAAAGTTAATATTTTTGCATTTCTAATTCATGACTATCTTGGGGGAAGTATCTCAAAACTATTCAAGCACCTTGCTTGTCCTAAAAAGTTTGCCCAGATTTTAGGAGAGCTTGTCTGCAACAATTACTAGCCTGTGTCTTTTTTTTTTTTTTTTTTTTTTGGTTTTTGGTTTTTGGTTTTTGAAGACAGTGTTTCTCTGTGTAGTTTTGTGCCTTTCCTGGAACTCGTTTTGTAGACCAGGCTGACCTCGAACTCACAGAGTTCTGCCTGCCTCTGCCTCCTGAGTGCTGGGATTAAAGGCGTGCGCCACCACCGTCAGGCGCTAGCCTGTGTCTTTATGGTAATTCTTTTTTCATCCCCTTTCAGCTTCCTAATTAGAAATATGTGAAGATCTCAGGTTCTTTTCTACAATGGAGGATGGAAAGGTTGATACCTGCTTGTGTACCACAGTTGTGTGTCCAGGCTAAAAGTCCCACATCTTTCCCACTCAGTTACTTGTACATGACACATCACTAAACCCTCAGGTCTCCATTTTTCTCATCCATCAGCCGGGGTCATTACAGCCCCTCCCCTGTGGGATGTGAGTATTAAATGAGATGTTTATTATAAAGCTCTGATTCCACGCCAAGAATGAACACAATCTATATTGTGTTCATCAGAAATTGTTATTTCTCCCAAATCTGCTGCCTAATTATTTGATTTTCAATTTTGATATTTTTTTTTTTTTTAGAAAAACCGTGTCACAAACCCAGTAAAATTTAATCTTAAAAGGGAAAAACCTATACTTACCTGGCAGGGGAGATACCATGATCATGAAGGTGGTTTTCCCAGGGCGAGGCTTATCCATTGCACTCCGGATGTGCTGAAAAAATTAAAAAAAAAAAAGGGGGGGGGATCTGAATCAATAAATACAATGTGTCTGTAGTTCCGTGGCAAAGCCTTTTGTTTCTTCCTTTTTTCTTTTTGTACAGCTATTTATTCATTTTTGTGTGTAGAAGGGGAGGGGTGAGCATGCCACAGCGCTCATGCAGGCATCAGAGGACAACTTTTAGGGAGGTGGGCCTCTCCTTCCCCCATGTGGGCCCTGGGAATTGAACTCAGGTCATCAGTGTTGGTGGCAAGCACCTTTACCCACTGTGCCATGTCTTGAGCCTGGAGCTTCTTCATGACATCATCATGTTCCCTTCCAGTCCCTGCCCACCAACTGCGTCTGTTACATCCACTCCAGTGTGCTTACAACCTTGAAAATAATCTTCTCACTCAATTGATACACTGTGTACATTTTATTACACAGTCTCTTTCTTTAGTACTCATTGATGAATGGTTATTCTTTGGTTTGACAACTTATTTATTGATTCAACATGGATTTATCCAATCCTATGTGCTACAGACAGAGTTCAGCGGTGAAGACATAAAATGGAAAAAAAAAAACCCCACTATTCTTGCTTTCTTGGGATTGACAGTCTCTCGAGAAGCTGGGGAGTGCCTCTCTTTCGCTATAATAAACACTTTGGGTCTCTACCTTACCCCCTCACTGGAATACCTCAGCTATATACTGAGAAAGACTGTTTGCTAGTCACAGAGTCCCAGCAGTTTTATGATGACACAATAGTATATTGCTGGTTTATATTTTCCTGCCATTATCTCAGTGAGCAGTAGATAAGCAGAGGAAGATGACAGAAACCTTGTCCACGTGGGTAGTTTAATTCTGTGAACTGAGTGACTGCAGGCTGATTCTTGATTCTCATTTCCAATTGCTTTTACGTAATTACTAGTAAGAAGGACTATTTCATCCGCACTTGATGATGAACCAATCATCATTATCTTCTTTATGTGAATTCTTTATTCTTGTTCTTTGCCTGGTTATCTGTTGGTTCTTTGATAGTTTTTAAAACTCAAGTCATAATTAGTTCTTTATATATTTTCTTACTTGATAATGAACCTTAAGCCACTGGGCTGCATTCAGACATACAAACACTTGCTCTCCTGGCCTGGCTGCCGCTTACTTTGATCTTATTTTCCCATTGATCAGAGTCCTTGCAATCTTATAGCCACTTTCTCCCTTTTCTTCTAACACTTCAAATGTTAAGAGTACCTCCCTTTCAAAGAGAGGAGAATGGTGTGTTTCTGCTGAAGGTGTGCATGCATCTTAAAGACACTTCATACTCTATCTAGAGGCTATTTGTCAGTGTGAGTGGAATCTCTGAACCCTGTTCTCTTGCGTTTGAATCCCAGCTCTGCCATTTTCTAGCTGGGTGACTTCAAGCACATCCCTTAACTTCTCTATGCCTCAGTTTCTTACTCTGTAAAATCAAAGAGTGATGGTACTGATTTACTGTTATGAGATTGAGTGAATGTTTATAAAACAGAACACTGCCTCCCACACAGCAAGCACTCACAAATTAGCTGCTATTGTGTTGACAGTGATTGCTGCATGGGCTGGTGGAGAATCCTGGTATATACAACATGGTGGATGTTTATGGCCTTTAAATTATTATTGGTGGCCCTTGAAATACGAGGTCAAAGGGAGACCATTAAAATATGACCAAGCGTTCTTTGAAGGGCAACAAAAGTTTGTCTTTGTGGATCTCTGGTAATAAAGGTCACTTTACTTTTAGAGGGCACGTTGGCCTGGCCACATACCCTCATGGCTGAGGTGTTACTTCTTTCTGATAGTTTATAGGACCCACATTTTAGATACATCTCAACCATCCAGCTCTTGAATGACATTCTTTTATTAGAGCTACGAGGTCCAAAGGATAGGTCCAGCTCTGAGTGTCAGAAGCAAAGTATAGAAGAAAAAGGTAGAAAAATGACCCATAGCTGAGATTTACACCAACAGGAATCATGTGACATTTTCCACACTCACCCAGAACATCTCAGATGTGTGCTTATATGCTACTGTTTGTTTGATCCGGTGTCCAATAGACTGATGGTGGTCAAGGACATGAGTTAAGCAATGGGCTTAACTCAGCATTCTAGCTTTGTTGATGCAATGACTCGTGTCCTCAAGTTCTGTGTGGGAACCAGAGTGGAGAAGGGCTTGCCTGGCATTTGAGCAGATGGGCTGTAGCGTTCTTTGAATACCTCCTCAGTCTCCTGCAAATAAATTTCTCCGATGCATAGATTTAGGAAAAACAATTCATCAATGAACACGACAAAACCATCTGGCTCTAGGGACCATGAAAAAAAAAATGTAGAGGTTGTAAAAGTTTACATTGTGATGAAGGTCATGTGTCTGGGTTTTGTTCCAGGAGTTACTGACTTCGGTTTTGCTCATTTTTTTTTAGGGATTTTTCAACCTAGCTCTACTGATAGAGGAAGGTGCTGTCATCTCACACCACATTCTGGAGTTCCTGGAAATTGACCCATCACTCCATCCCAATAATGCCTCCATACTCCGGGAGCTGTATGAAAGGTGAGCTCTGAGCTACTCCCATCCCGGGGAGATGGGGGATCCGAGTGGGCGACACTCCAGCCTTAGTTCAAGCTGGCATCACCCTGATTTTGTGATGTCAAGTGTGAGAAAATGTCTCCAGAATTGCTTCTGCCAGTCTTCCGCTAAGCCCAGATGCTGTTCCTGTTTCATTGAGCTTCGGGTCTGTCATAGAATGTTCTAGATCTGAAGTTTAAGTGCTGACCAAGATTTTCCATAAGAGTGTGGGGGAGGGGGAGGGATCACACAACTGATTAGCTGACTTTTCTAGAAGATAAGGAGGCCATCCTACACCTGGACTTTGGATAGACACTCAGAAATACTGTGTGAGTAGCTCTTATGCTCAGGGCCTTCCTTAGGAATGAGGTGTGATCTTTCCAGAGGTTTCTGCTAGGATCTCCAAATACCAGGCCAGGTCCAAAGCACTTAGAATTAATTAGCTTCATTCTCTGGCACCATCTGGAGGGAGTTTGTGTATGCAAAGGCAAACACATGTGGGTATGAGGGACCAATCATGACTGATGCCACCAAAGCCTAGATACCACAGGGTACCCTGGTCTCTGTTCCCAGGTGCTGGAGCCTCAGTAACGAGGAGTCCCTTAGCCCCTGCTCCCTGGCCTGGCTTTACCTTCACCTGCGGCTTCTCTGGGGTGCTGTCCTGCACTCTGCCCTGGTGAGTATCATCCCTGAGCCCTGCTCGAGGTCCTGCCCTTCCACCAGCATCTGACACATGCTCCGAATGTCTGCAGATCTACTTCCTGGGAACCTTCCTGCTGTCCGTAGTGATCGCCTGGACGGTGCTTTATTTCCAGTGTGTCTCAGGTAAAGCTTTCTGTAGAGCCCAGGCAGGAGGGAAGGGGGGTTTCTTTTTCCCTCTCATGATCTTGGTAATGCTTCATTTCCTTAGCACGGTCCCGCATAGTATGAAGGAGTCCTTGTAGCACAGTGTCTTACAGTCCCCTTCTGTCAGGGAGCCTCAGACTATTACAGTTTTCAAAGTAAAGGGCTTGGGGTTTTGTGTGTTTATCTTTTGAGCTTAAAAACAAAAGCAAAAACAAAAATCAGTGACAGTGTTTTCTTTTTCCCTACATATGCTTGAAAACCTCATTTCAAACCCAGCTGCTGTATGACGTATTCCCACTCGTATAGCAGGGTTTCTCAGCCCACCAGCCCCCAAATCATGACACAGAGACTTATTATTAATTATGAATGCTTGGCCTTAGCTTAGGCTTGTCCCACTAGCTCTTATAACTTACATTAACCTGTTTCTCTTCATCTACGTTTTTGCCTCAGGGCTTTTTATCTTTCTTTCCTTCTGTACGTCCTACTTTCCTGCTTCTTCTGTGTCTGGCTGGCCCCTGGCGTCTCCCTCTCCTTCTCCCTTGTTCTCCCCGGAGCCTAGATTCCTCCTCCTACTTGTTCTCTCTGCCCACCAGCTCCGCTTATCCCTCTACTGCCTAGCTATTGGCCGTTCAGCTTTTATTAGAGCAATCGGGTGCTTAGGCAGGCAAGGTGAAACAGCAGCATATCTTTACATAGTTAAACAATTATTCTGCGACACACACAAATGTAACGCATCTGTACTTAGTTAAACAAATCTTCCATCCCACAGCACATTCCAGTCGTAATGCAGAAGTCTACCCAGCTAGCCAGGTAGACTTGGAGAGTCCACTTTGGTTCTTTCCAGACTGTTATTTTTCAAGCTAGCATAAGGAAGTAACTAATAGAATGAGATTCTCATGCCTTCTGTTTGGACTTAGACTCCAGTCTCGGAGTCTGTGTGACTTAGTGCGAATTACTCAACCTTTCTGATCTCCCAGTTTCTCATCAATCAAAAGAGTCTATCATAACTTCCGAGGGATCTAAATGAGGGGGATGTTAAAAAATGCATGTAAGATGCTTATCCTAATGGCAACTGTAGTTAAATGAGAGCTCTTAAACCGAGGTGGTGTATAAAACCTCTCAGTGAACGTTAGGTTAAGGGATGGCCCAAGTCTTACCATTCACATTAATATCTCACACTTAACGGAGACTCAAACCTGCAAACATCTCTTGGTGGAAAGGGACAGATCCCCACCCTCTTGAATGGTGACAAGAGGAGAGGATAACTCACAGAGACGAACAGAGACACTTATGAATGGGTAATGAGGGGCGGGCTGGGTGAATGGGGGGCGGGCTGGGGGAATGAGGGGCGGGCTGGGGGAATGAGGGGCGGGCTGGCATCGGAGTGCTGGCATGGCCATTGTTTGTGGAGCAGATGATGAAAAGTGAAAGGAGTGGGTTGGCCTCTCTCTCACAGGCAAATGCAGGGTCTTCCTCTCGTTTACCCAAGGAGGTGTGGGCTGCCCTCCGCAGCCCTGCCAGGCTGGAGGCCGGGTCCTCTGCCCCTGCATACATCTCCTCAGGGCACCTTCTGTCTCGTCCCTGAATTTGTTGCCAGGTAGAGCACGTTTATTTTGCATCTTGTCAGTGTTTTCCATTTCAAATTATCTTTGTCATTTTTACTCTGTGGAAATACTGCTATGACTCTTCTGGATGCGGCTCTGTTAGGGTTGCTGAAAATTGACTTGATGGTTTTATGCCAGCTGGTAGCCATGAAAATCATGGGCGGGTGGGACCGCCTTTGTTAGACACTGCTGCTTCCTGTCTTCCAGTCTTCATCGTCAGTCCCTCTGCAGTCTTGTCCCCCTGTCCCTACTGCCCTTTATATATCATACATATTTCCCCTTCCTGTCTCTCCTTGGGCCATTCATTGGTCACGTTTCCCCTCACTTTTCAAAACCTTTTTCATTTGCTTTTTCTGGCACACACACACACACACACACACACACACACACACACACACCCTTTCTTTTTGGCAACCACAGAAGATTGTGTTGGGATAAGATCTAAAAAAAGAACTTAATTCTACATGTGGCATGTTACAGATGGGGAAACTGAGGCAAGAGGGGTGAAGTAGCCTGTTCAACTAAGGAAGTGAAACCAAGAGGGATGTAGGTGGAGAATTCCAAACTTGCTTTCGAAACCTCAATACTTTAAAATGTTGTAGACTATCTTAAACCAATTGCTCCTTCACAGTAGGAATATTTCCTAATAGGTTTGAGCATCTTAAAATAAAATTCGTAATTAACCTGCCCACGCACATATTTCCTTTAAAAGCACTATAAAGGACAATTAAAAGAAAATTACTTATTACAAAATAATGTTTCTATGTGTAAACTGTAGCACACTGCTTCTTAGTTTTACTGGGCATACGAATCATGCAGGGCTCATACTCCACGAAGATTCTGATGGCGTGAGTCTAGATTAGACAATTGCAGAGAGCCTCTGGGTCATGCCCACATGGCCATCCTGTAAAACATGCTTGGACCAGGAATGACAGAAATAAAAAGGAAAGGCTCGCATGCTGCCAGAATGCACCTGCCTGCTGCAATCCCACCAGCCCTGGGAGCACTCATGCTGAGAACCGAAGCATCTCTTCCATTCCTTTCCTGGTGTCTAACGTCCTTATCCAGAGTGAAGACATGCCGGTCATTTTGAGCTAAGATTGTTCAGCCCGGGTGACTGAAGAGGTGATAGGCAGGTGATGGGGCATAGGTGAGTGGGCTTCTGCCACTGGCCTTGGTGAGCTGTTGTGTGTTCAGCCCAAGTCAGCCTCCCAAGTTCATATGATGCTCTGTGATATAAAGTCAACATGCCGTAGCCTTTGCCACATGAAGTGGTCCCATGTTCAGTGGTGCAGGACAGGAGGTAGCCCCACCAGCCATGGGGAAGGGAGCTGCTAGGATTCTGGCCCTACTGTTACTTGTGGGACAGTGCTGAGCAAGGGAGAAGCTTGCCTGTGCCTCTGTTTGCTCTTCTGTAAAATGGAAGAAATAATACTTTGCCTGCTCCTTTCTGTAGCTGAGAGAACCAAATGAGATGGCATGGTGTATTTAAGCTGCAAGAGTCCCATCCTTCTGGGACATTTTGCCTGCAATTAAAGAATTCTGCCACAAGGAGGCGATCATACTTAACTAGCCTGATTTGCCTCTGTAATAGTTAACCAAAGCCTAGCATGTTTTTGCTATGCTGTGGAGCTTTCACTTCACAAGCATTTAAACAAAGGTGTTAACAAATCTGTCACAAGTAACAAAATAGGGGACAAGTACTGCCATTAAGGAAACTTGTTTATGGTTCCTGGCTTGCCTTCCTCCATGGAGCTACATCTTTCAAGAGGTCAGTGCTTCTTAGGGTAATAAGGTCCCTTGGTTGCCACGGGTCCGAGAGCAGAACTCCTATTGCTCCAGGCCTACCATGTTATTCCAAGTCCTCAGATAGGCAGCTTCTGGGTCACCCTGCTGGGGCATCTTCACCTAACCACAGAACCATTAGCGTTTTCCCTGGAGCCTTCCAGTTTCAGGTTGCTCCCGGGGAGAGGAGGAGGCATTTTGCTAGAACAATCCACAGACAGCTCAGCTCCTCTCTCAGACTCCAAAAAGAGTTTTATTTCACTGCTTGAGTGTGTCTCAAAAGTACCGCCTCCCCCTCCCTGCCAAGGACACCAAGTCTAATTACCTTAATGGAGCAGCCTTTTTGAAACCCCAAATATCCCAAAGTAAAGTGAATCCAGAGCCACATCTACCTGTGCCTGCTGCAGATGTCCCTCAAACAGAAAAGCCTAGAGCCTGGCCGGCTGCCTGCAGGGAGGTGAAAAAAGAATAAAAGAAAAAACAGAAGCGCCATTTCAAAGAAAGAGTCCCCCTGTAAAAAAATGGAATTTGAATTTTGAAAACACAAAACCTGTAAGACTCCAAATCCTAAATTCTTAAATCCTGAAATGTAAGTACCAACATGAAACCACAAGAGGGAAGTCCCAGCCCTGACTTCACCTCCCAGGTTGTGGTCGAAATGCAGGGGCGCTAAAGATACATAAAATGACCTTTCAATCTATACATCTAAGGTGTGTATATGAAACAATGAATTTCACATTTCTACTTGAGTCCACAAGATACCTCATTCTGCAGAGTCTCACCTAAGCCCCAAATCTGAACTCCAAAACCCATCTGGTCTTGTTCACTTTAGAGCAAAAAAAAAAAAAAAAAAAAAAAATCCTCCATCTGCCCCATGACTCTAAAGAACACGCAGCATAAAAGAGGTCCGTGGAGCTTCCTGCTCCCAGGGATGACAAGGTGACCGAGTCCCTGCCAGTCTGTCCCTGCACTGCCCATGGATGCTGACTCATCCTTTCAGGCTGTAGTTTAGCCTCAGCTTTTTGGTTTTTTTTTTCTTTTTCTTTTTAACAACGTAAGACGATCCAAGTGAGATTAATTAAACCTTTCTCTGCTCTGCTCCTGTCCCCTCCATTTCCAGCTAATGAAGTTTCTGCTAAAAGCACAGTGAAATGCCACACAGAGTGCTGGCGAAGAAAGTTGATAGCCTTGAAGTCAGAGATCTCACAGCATGGGTGTTTACCACCATGTCCCCCAGTCTCTCACTCTTGGCGGCCACCAGTGCCCCAGCTTACAGCTGGTCTAGTGACAGGAATCTTGTACGTGTCCTGGGCTCTGCAGGCCCTTGGGGACTAACTCAAACATAGCGTGAGATTTCCAGTGCCATCTCCTTGCCCCTCATTCTTACCGGTGGCCTGCCAGGTAACACACGCTCCCATATTCTTTATTGAAGCCCACATCTGATTCACTGGCAGCCAAATGTATGCTAGGACTGTACCAGGGGTCAGCATCCTCTTGGGTTTTCTTTTCTAGACAGAGTCTCCCATAGCCCCTGCTAGCCTCGAGCTTGCCATGTAGTGGAGGATGACCTTGAACTTCTGATCCCCCTGCCTCTCCCTCCCCAATGCTGGGATTATAGGCCAACATCTCTACATCTAGTTTATGTGATGCGAAAGATGGAACCAGGGGCTTCAGGCATCCTAGGCAAGCACCCTACCAACTGAGCTACGCCCCAGCATCCCACTCTTCTGTAAGGAGGTTGGTGACAATTGCATTGGCTTTTCCACTCTGTCCCTGGAAACCTGAAGCAGACATCATAGTCGGGCCCCTAATAAAACTGCATGTGGACACATTTGAAATTCAAATGTGTCCACATGTCACAAAGTCTTATTCTTGTTTTGATTTTTGTTCTTCCATTTAATAGTGTAAACACCATTTTTAGATCATGGACCCACACAAAAACAGGCAGTGACTGCCATTGGCCCTGGGTCCTGTGTGTGCCAGCTCCTGATTATTCCCACTTATGTTCAGAAATGATTCCCCAGCCAGCAAGTAATCCACAAATCACTTCTCTTTGGCTCTGGAATATACGCTGTAATTTTTTTTTAAGCAGCACAATGATATTCCTGGTTACCTTGATTCTAGCCCAATAATAAAATTAGCATGCTTTCCAGGTGAGCAGAGACAAAGGGGCCACTCTAAAATTAAGACACGCGGTAGGGGGGATTCACGTAGTGATTGCAGCCCCCACAGAAGGGAGAGAACCCTCACAAAGATAATAACAAACTTGCCCTGGAAACAGTCAGCGTTCATTATTGTTCCTGTCCAGGGGGGTTAAGTGGTGGCAGCGCTAATTAGGCATCCCTTCTACATTTACACATTGGCACCTTTTGTTTTAATCAGAAAACCAATTGCTGATTTATCTTGTTACCATGGTGACTTAGACATTCCCTCAGCTTGCTTTAGTGTTGTATTAACTTCCACAGGGGTCACTGGGAAGGCAGATCCTATAGCAAAAGGGGGTCCAGACACCAGCTGCTCTAAGCCCTCCTGTTCCCAGGGGAGGAAACAGAGGAACCAGGGATTCTAACACATTAGCACTAAAACATCCAAAGGCAGTAGCTAGCTCAGAGGTAGCCAAGAGCAGGTAAAGAATATGCACCAGGACTGGGCCTCCTACTGTGGCCCAGTGGTCTCTGGACCTCATCACTCGGTCACCTGTCTCTAAGTCTTTAATAACCCGAGCAATGTCCCACCATTCCACAACACCATGGCCTCTCCCCTTGTCTCTGTCTCCACCCATCTCCTGTGGGTGCTGGAAGAGGCCCTAAAGAAAAATCCTGTCCATGGGCAGAAAAGCCAACCTACCTGCTCGAAGGCTCATGCCCCAACTTCCAGCAGTGGTCCTTGGGGTGACCACGTTCAGACATGACGCTGTTGAAGAGTTGGGTTGTCAGCACAGGGTGGCATCTTTGTATGGTACACACATTTCAGAATGCCCTTTAAAAACGGCTCCATCGGTCCATCAGGATGGCTCAGCAGCCAAGGGTGCTTGCTACCAATGCTGGAAACCTGGACCCACGTGATGGAGGAAGAGAAAGGGTTCCTGGAACCCGTCCTCTGACCTCCACATGTGTGCCCGGCACATGCACACACTTACACATATGGACTACAAATAAATAAGTACGAAACCGATAAATAAAATAAAAAGGACCCCACTTTGTACAAAGTTAGGAACACCAAAACACTCTCGAGTTTAATTGAGATTGCCGCCTGCAGGTAAACCAGCCCGTGTTTGCACAGACTTTGACCACTGAGCTCACCCCTCATCACACAGCTCTGGGTGTTACTCTCCCCATTTTTATAGCTAAAGAAACCAAGGCTCAGGGTAGTTAAGAGCTGGCTCAAGATTACCCAACTGGTAAACATCAGTGCTATTCAACTCGTGGTCTTTCTGGCTTTGAAGTTCATGCTGTTTTTGTACTGGAGCCTCAAAGGGGACTGCAGGCATCCAAAAAACAAATGCTTCCGCTCTTTTATCAGTCCCATAAGCCGTGTACCTGAAATGAACAAATCTTAACACATTTCCCTGGTAACCCGGTAACATTTCCCACACGCTTATGCATGCCAAACACTGTTCTAAGCATTTTAAGTGCATTTTCTCATTTAACCCTTGGAATGACTCAGCGAGGCAGCTGCATTCATTTTCTCCATTTCTTGGAGGTGGGAACATGTGGATAAGTTACCCAAAGTCACACAGCTCTTCAAGGCCAGAGCGGGTGGCCACCAGAGCCCTCGGTCTTACCTGGGGCACATCTAGGTTTTAATAAAGCAGGCTTTGCCAGCTCCAGAGCAGATGACATTTAGAGCTGGTCACGCATTGCTGTGGGACTTGCCGTGTGTCCTGCAGGAGGCTTAACATGATCCTTGGTTTCTACTCATTAGATGCCCTCATTCCACCCCACCCCTGTATGGGTACGACAAGTGGAAATGTCTCCAGGCAGTGCCCCGTCCTTCAGGAGGCAAAATCACTACCGTCGGAAAACTATTGACGTGGGGACTGGAGAGATGGCTCAGTTTTTAAAACCACCGGCTGCTCTTGCAGAAGACCTGGGTTCAATTCCCAGTACCCACATGCCAGCTCACCACCATCTGTAACTGCAGTTTCAGGGAATCCAATGCCCTCTTCTGGACCCTGTAGGCACCAGACACTCAAGTTGTACAAGACATGCATGCAGGCAAAGCACTCATACGCATAAAATACAAGTTAAAAAGAAAAGAAAACTACTGTTATAAACTTGACATAAGCTCCTCTAAAATCAGGGTCATTATCTTCTCTACTAAAGATATTTTGAAAAATACTGAAACCTAATAATTTCATGGAATATGCAGCAATTGTGTTTTCCAACCGTTTCGTGCAATTATTTAAATAAAGTAACTCGAGCTGAATTTGACACACCTTCCAAATGGCATAAGAATGTAAATAAAACCAGCCCTTCTCCAACTATTTGACATTATTTATGGTTTGTATATTGACATCATGTGGGTGCGAGGGTCGGGGAGTGGGGAAAGGGCCACAGCTCGTGAAACTGATTACAGCAACGTTTTGCCTGGAAATCCCTTCAGACACTTGGTGACTTAAAACCTCGGGCCATAAGAGCCACCAGGGATTTTTTTTTTTTTTTTTGGTTTTTTTTTTGGTTTGTTTGGTTTTTTTTTGAGACAGGGTTTCTCTCTGTAGCTTTGGAGCCTGTCCTGGAACTCACTCTGTCGCCCAGGCTGGCCTCGAACTCACAGAGATCCGCCTGCCCCTGCCTCCCGAGTGCTGGGATTAAAGGCGTGCGCCGCCAGAGATCTTTACACATCTGTTCCAACCTGGTATTTTATAGAAGGGGACACCAAAGTTCAAAGAACCTAGATAATGGGTCCAAGGGTGTCTGTCTTCTGAGAGTTGGGACCACCAGCCAAGGAGTATCCATCCTGCTTGCTGGATCCTGGGTGGGGCTGGGTGTCCTGCATGTGCCTCTCTCAGTGTTCACCTCTGTTTGCATGTGTCTCTGCAGCCAGTGGCTCTTCTCCAGCACCAGCCTGGGTCATGGCAGACCCCACCTCATCTACCCCAAGTCCAGCTGTGCCTCCAGCTGCAGATGCCTCCGAAGATGACCCACCCACAATGGCTAACAACCCTGAGTCTCGTGGGTGAACTGTGCACTCCCAGTCTCTCCAGCTGAGAGACAGTCCTTTCAACAGCTGGTTGGGGAAGGCTAGGGCCAGGGCATTATACTGATAAATACCTTAAATGTCTTGTGAACTGGATGCCGATTTTGCACTTGGTGTTTTTTGTTTATTTTTAAACAAGGACATACCCAGAGCAGAATATAGTTATCAAACAAATTCAAGGATCACCTTGAAAATAGGAGCATGTGGGGAGGTGAGCTGAGGCATTGGACTTCCATTCCTGGTCATTGTTCTGGGAACCACAGTCTGCCTTGTGGAGCATCCATATTCCCATCTGTGGAGAGGCATTTTAAAAAGTCTTAGTCTTTGTTCACCCTCTTTGACCAGGGAACAGGAACTCCTCTCCAAGGCTGATGATGCTTCCGCATCTCGTTTGCCACATCCTGCTCCCCAAAGCCCAACTGACAGATTGCTCTCTCAGTCCCAAACCCAGCAGTTAGGAGGCGCCTTGAAGCTAACAAAACAGCATATACAGGGAAGACAATAGCATTGTACATTGGTTTACATTTTTTTCTCCCCTGTGGAATTTTCTAGCGTCGTAGTGCTTCCAAATCATTTGATGACATTATTGGATATCGTTTATGTTTCCATCACAGCCCATGCAATAACATCTAGAAAACCTTTAGTATTTAAGTGTAGTCGTCTTCTTCATGAATCACCATTAGAGTAGACTGGCGGTAATGGAATATGCGGGAAGACAGCCGTTAGCTCAGTTCCATCAGCACCCCTCTGCCTGCCTGTGTCTGTATAGGGGGGGTGTGTGTGTGTGTGTGTGTGTGTGTGTGTGTGTGTGTGTGTGTGTGTGTGTGTGGACAAGGGCAAGGAAGAACAGAGTGTCTGTATTCTGTTTGCTGCTCCAGTAGTAAATAAATCAGTAATGCAATACTGTGGGTTCAAACTGCTCTTTGCACTACTTTATTTACAGTAGTAAATAAAATTATTTTTCTACAGTTGACTACCAGGAAGTTGGCTGCTTTTCTTTCTCGTTGTCACTGTGGTCATTCGACAAAGTGCTAAGGTCCACTTGTTCTCCTTAGGCGCCTCCCCATCCCCAACACACCAAACAACCCCCTACAGGAAAGGGATTTGTCCTGGAAACCATTAACAGCCGTGGATGTGAAGGTGGCAGGAAGCTCCCTTCCGGGGAATCCTAAACCTACATCTGGCCCGGATGATGTTTGCTCAGCCTAACACTGTTGGGGCACCTGCTCTGAAATGAGTCTTTCCTTGGACTCTAGGTTCAGCCTCCAGTTCACCCTCTCTCTCTCCTGTGTGCATTGCTTTCATTTGAGCAGAAATTAATTATCTGAGCCATTTGCAAAAGAGTCAGACATCGGGGTCTAATAGTCCTGGTTCTGTAACTTACTCGGTTATCTTGGGATTAACCCTCCTCTGGCTTCATATTCTTTTGCTATACAATGAGAATAAAACAAAACATCCACCTCTTGTGCATCTCACAAGGCTTCAATGAGATTGCGTGTGTGGAGAGTCCACAAGAAAGTGCTGTGAGCATGGCTGGTTATCAGTGCTGTTAGGAAGAGAAATATGAGGCGCCACACAAGGCGCTCAGCTCTCCTCAGAGCCTCTGTTGAGGGCGAACACACCCATTCCCTATCTGCTGGGATCTTAGGCTGTGGACAACTCACAGTTACACCACTCAGTGGGTCATACTCTTGCAAGATGGCCATAGGAGCAGTCTTTCAATCTCGTCTTCATTAGCTGCTTTTCTGTTGCCGTCATAGAACACCACGACCAAACCCAACTTACAGAAGCAAGGGTTGGTTCTGGCTTTCAGTTCCAGAGGGATAAAAGCCCATCAAGGAAGAAAGGCAAGGCAGTAAGTGATAGGTGTGGAGACTGGGAGATCACGTCTTCAATATAAACATAGCAAACCGGAAGTGGGATGAGGCCATGAATTCTCAAGGCTCACCCCCAGTGATACCCCCTGCTCCGCAATGCCACACCACCTCACCAAACAGCGCCACCGACTGGAGACCACGTATTCAAATACCCGAGTCTATGAACCACATTGTTGCCATTGATATTTGGGCTGGATGGTTCTTTGTTGTATGGGGTTCCAAAGTAAGAATCCACAGCAGCAGGGTGGGCGTGGTCCAAGTAGCATGAACAGGAAGCTACGAGGTCACCTCTCCATCCACACACCGGAAGCACAGAGCAAACCGGAAGTGGGTCAAGGTTATAAACTCTCAAAGCCCACCCCATGTGCCATACTTCCTCCGGCAAGCCACCAGTTTCTAAAGGTACCATAACTTCCCAAACAGCGTCACCAACCAGAGGCTTAAGTCTTTAAATACATGAGCCTGTGGAGTACATTTCTCATTCAAACTACCCTGTGTGTCTTCTCTGAGATGTCCCGACTTGAGCACAGTTTGGATGTATCCAGGCATCTGCATCTGCCCTGGGGAGAGATGGGGGAGAGAGGCAGTGTTGGCTTGCTGCACGGCAGCAGCAGCTGTGTCTACAGGAATCCGTAATCACCAGAGAAGCTGGAAGCAGGACTGGTCGCTGAGAGGAATCTGGTGAGAATGACCCAAGCAAGACGCTACATTGCCTGACAGGAGGCGCCGGCATCTCCAAAAGCATTACACCAACTTCCGGAGGAAGGGAGGGATGGTAGCACATTCTGTGAGGGATGGCATTTGGCCTTAAGAGGCTAAGCATTTTTCCAAAGGGGCCTATTGGTTTATTACATTGAACAAAATAATGTTTCCAAGCTAGGCAACCACCTGCCATTATTGGTGCCCAGGGAGTGTACACTCAGAAGGAAAAGATTGTAGATAAGATAAAATATATTCCAGTGCACATCCGAATGTCATATAAATACATTTCAGCTTCACTACCATGACAATACAACAGATGTTTCATGGTATTCAGCCGTGAGTGTGGCCATTAAATGCAAAATTGTTATGGGGGTGGGGCTGAGCCTTGACAGGTGGGCAGAATTTTGACAAGGAGGATGGAAGGAGATGTCATCTGGGGGAGAGAATTACCTGGCCACAGGCCTGGAGGTGGGACTATGCACAAAATACTACAGGAGTTGGGAGGGTGGGGTGGGGGGAGGGGGGCTTGAAGTCAAGCTCCTATTGATGAGGAGACCAGCAGTATTCCAGTTGGTCAGAATGGCTCAGAAACTCAGTCATGCATGAGATCAGCAGACAGGCTCTCCACAGGCCCGAACTTGCCATCTGGAAACTGCCGATGGAAGCTAGGGACTTGTGGCCACCCAAGGTTAGCTGTTCCCTTCATGGCTCAGGAAGCTGGAAGTGGTCCTCCTGACATCTCTCAGAGTGGCAAAGAGCTTCCGAAAGTCACTTAGAGAGAGTCAGCTTGCGGTTCAGGGGTGGGTCTGGGGCATAGAAGCCTCCAAGGTCATTCCCCTCCGGGAAGCAGCATAAAGAAACCAGCTGACCCTGCCAAGATGGCCCTTATTTTCTGCTTTCCCTTCACTCCACAAAGATGCATCGGATTGATTTTCCAGAACTATCAGGCTCACATTGCACATCACCTCTGGTGACCGAGTGAGCCACTCGACCAGGCAGAATGTCTTGCTGGGGAGTGTAGACGAGAACAGTGCCAGTCAGTGTAGGCTGAGGTCTGGGCACAGCTGCCCATCCCTCCTGGCTCCCCTAGGTTCTACTAAATAGCCCCTTTCTGAAATCAAACAAAAACCAGTCTCTCTCTCTCTCTCTCTCTCTCTCTCTCTCTCTCTCTCTCTCTCTCTCTCTCAAACGCACACACACACACCTCCACTCCTGTCAAGGGACACACCCAAGCCTATCTGCACACAATGCATCAGTGCGCTGGAGTGAGGCAGGCATGTGAAGCCCATGTCCACAGCTGCCCTCTGCATGGCTCTAAAGGAAAAAGAGGGAGGTGCACGATCCCCACCCTCAAAGAAAAACAGATGAAGGGGGTGGAGTGTGCCCTGCCTTGATGAGTTTCCGGCTCCATGGAACCATAAATTTCTGTTGCTCAAGCCACCCGGCCTGTGACATTTTGATATTTCAGGCTTTGCAAAGGGAATACAAAGAGGAATGAATGTAAGAAAAATGGCAATTACCGGGACTTAGGAGATGTCTGCAGGGATTCTAGAAAGCCTTAGAAGAGTTTTAGCATCAGTCATCCCATGCAGAGAACACCACTCCATCTTACCCATCACACAATCCACAGCCAGCATCCCGGCTACTTCCTGATCTCACTCTTCAACCCTAAGCTATCCTCAAGCCCCTACAGTACAAAGGCACTACTATTGCCGCCTTTTCCATTCCGAATGCTCCAGGTGCAGCTATTTCCTCCCCTCCAGGAGTTAGGGAGACCAGCCTTGCTTGAATGCTCCTTCTCACCGAGCTGCTGTTTTTCACATCACTGCGGGTGGTGAACACTGACGGTCAATCTGACACAATATAGAATAACCTAGAACAAAACTCTGTGCGTATCTATGAGAGAGTTTTTAGATCAGCTTCGTCGAGGTGGGAAGAGCCACCCGAAATGTGAGCAACACCATCCCATGGGCCAGGTTTCTGGGAGAAAATGAGTTGAACTTCTGCATCCATCTTTATGCTTCTTAGCCTGTAAATGCCACGTGGCCAGCTGTCTCAAGCTCCTGTGGCCATGGCATCCCTTCCATGATAGACTGTGTCCCCTTATACAGTAAGATGGAATACACCATCCTTGTGCTTTCTGCCACACCTTGTAAGCAGGGATCCCAGTGACACCCAGTGAATTAGGAAGCCTTGTGATACCTCACGTCAATGTCAGCTATGTGCAGACTTGGATCAGCATGGTAACTGCAATGTCCTGTGGGAAAATATCTTGACCTCTGCTCATGACTGGGACCCAGACACTCTTAAGTGACTTACAGATCTGAGGACCACCAATGGTGGATATGGGGTGGGCCCTAGGACTCTGTAGCTCAGAGCAGCCATAAGCCCTAAGGGCTGAAGGAGAACAGGGTGAGTTAATTGTTCCTGCTGTCAGAGGGTCTTTTCTTAAACCTGCCATTCTAGAAGCATTGCCAAAGCAAATGAGCTACTTCACCAAACTGTGACTCCCTGTGGCCTGAGTAGACTTTTTGGTTCACTACTGAGCACAAAGGAGACAGAGAACACCTTCTGTCCCAATCCCCTTTATCAAAGCCATTACTGTAGTACTGCATCTGGCTCAGTGTATAACTTTCTACAGGTGTGTGACAAATACATAGTATTTGCCAAGCTGTGACAGTTTATTAACTGATCAGATTACAAAAATACCATGGACAATACCTTAGGTCATCTGTCCAAGAGATAAATGTTTGTGTTGTCTCCTATGGTGAAACTCAACTCCTCTTCTGGTCACTCATGGTAACTGTCCTGCATTTTCACCCATGACCAGCCTGAGTCCGTTCAAAGGAACTGAACCAAACACAATGTGGTCATCTAGCAGAGGTTCAGTCAACACTGCTTAGGATCCTCTTCTGGGAAGGTGTTTTCCTCTGCTGTGGCAGAACCATGGTACATCAGCCCTCCGTGTGAATGTGACCACAACTGCATTCTTCGAGTGTTGAAATCAGAGACATTGGTTAAATATCTCCGATTCTCATAATGCCGTTACAAATCAAGAAACACACTTCCCGCACCTCACAGATGAATCAGACATTGCTACAGCAATTCTGAATAATAAACAACAGCAAGGTGTCTAGGCGTATAGCCAGGCACCTGTGGGGTGGCTATGGTTCAGCAGATCCAAGATAGGCTCTGTCCATGTGGTTGCAGCCTCTGGATGTGGGGATGTAGGTGAATTTTATATGACTTTCCTTCTCCTGGGGTTTGTGGGCAGCTGGGGCTTGCTTATCTTAAACAGACCAGGATATGCCACATGAACATGCATGCTACTTGGGCATAAAATTCTTAATGAATGGATGCAGAAGAGACCTCTGCCCTCCATTTCTCTGCCGAG